TCCGACTCGTATTTGCCAAGCTAGCAGTTCTGGGTTTAAATCCTAGCATAGCCTATGGATTAATAATATTGTAAAAATAATGTTATAAAGTGGTTTGGGTTAGGGCGTCCGACTTGTATTTTACACTCTAGCAATCCTAGGTTCAAATCCTAACAGAGGCAATGGTTTTTAATTGGATTATAGTATGAAAATGTATAGAGGTTTGACCCACAACACACAATGGGTTGGACATTAAGCCGTCCTGCGTATATGTATGGATAAAAACTATTTACAATGCTACTGAAAAGTTCACATCTGCCTTAGATCCATAAAGGTGTTGAAGACGCGTCAACTTAGGAACAGTTCACCTGTTAGACATTGAACACCTAGCCACAGAACTCAAACGTGTCAAGCAACATAATTTATGTGGTGAATAAGTGATTCAAGAAAACTATATTTTGAATTTGTTTTATTGTCTATGATAATTATTAGAAAAAGATTCCTTATTAGCTATTTGATAGCTAGGTTGTAATATTAATAGTCTCTCCACTTAATAGAATTAGATGAAAATTTTTTCTTGCTTAATCCATGAAGAGGTAGATGCATTAGTGGGGGTGTAGTGTACTGTTGATTTTAAGAGCTGTTGTATCCTCTGTTTTTGCTTACAGCACACTGGTGAGTCCTAGTTCATCAAGTAAGTTGATTAGTAGGCCGAGTCTCAGTGGTTGATTTCTTCTACAGTTATATTGTACATCCCAAATCACTTCCTCTTGTGAGCAAATGCGGCTCCACATTTTATTAGTAGATGTTTCCTCTGTTTCCTTGCAGAATCTGCACATACTGTGTTGTTTATGCCGATCTTCCTCAGTTGCCCATGCAGTCTGCAGTGTCCCATCCTGTACAGAATCCTGTTAGGACTCAGTCTCGCAATTTTTTCCTACTTCCTTTAATGCATTCTATTATCTCTTTCCTACCAAAATTTTCTGGATTGTTCTTGGATTGCTTATGTCCAATGAGTGAATTCCATCCCACATTTTATTTGTATCCTTCAGTCTGAGGTGCTCATAGATAGTGTGGATTCCCATGCCACAGAAGGGCTCGGCTCCTGAGCCCCTTTTCTTGCAAGTGCATCCGCTTTCTCATTGCCTTCTACATGCTCTAGGACCCAGCAAAGGGTGACATTGTTTTGCATACCTAATCTGTTTAGTTTAGTTTTTCAATTCAGCACCATCTTTTTAGCGCTCTGATGGTACCTGAGATACCTATATTCTTGTTTTTGTACTTTTTGTTCAGATTGGGCTCGATACATTTCTCAATTGGATGGACTTCAGCCTGGAAAATGGCATGTATATTTTCCCATGGGTTCTTTTTATTTGGTTCCAGGACCGAATACCCCCTATCCCCATACCTTCTGATCCATCTGTGTACCAGTATATGATGCCATTCTTAAAGGTGTTTTCCTCTCTTTCCCATTCTTTTTTGGTACCCAAGTTTATTTGGAAATTTTGATTAAACATCCTGTTCACGTCATCTCAGACTGTCATACTAATAAGTTTTCTGTGCTGTCCTCATTATCAAATGGTGGAGGGGGATTAATCCCAGTATCTTCTCCATAGCAGCTGTGGGACGTTCTCATTGCTCCCTTATACATATGCACGCGTCTCTTACTACTGGCAGATCCACTACTTTTTAGCTTAATTCTTCTCCGTGCTCTGTGATTATGTATTTTCTTTCTGATAGATACCAATACCAGACTTTATTTTTCCTCTAAATTACCATTTTGTGTGCACTAACTGAGTCATTGTTATGAATTGTTTCTCAACAAATATTTTGGGGAAAATGACTTGTTTTATCCATTTCAATCAGGGTATGTTGAAACCAACAGTTGATATATGCTGGGCTATTGACAATGCTGGCTATTTGGATCAATTTAACAAAAATGAAGTCTTTTGACAAAAAACAAGCTTCCCCAATAATTTAATTTCAGCTCTACTTTAGATCTGACATTGACATAATTATATCCGGAGTACTGACGGGTCCTCTCCTGATTTTACCTCTCTTTCATTACACAAGTGTCAGATTCAGTACACATAAACGAATAAGCAATGATTTATTCGGTGTGAACGGAAACCAGGCTGTACTGACACAAGAAGGAGTCATCTCAGATAGCTAAAGCGTTCTATAACCCTGCTGAGTCGATTGGCTCAAGAATTAAACTCATAATAAACACCACATTTACGAGAGGAACACATAAAAAAATCTGAAAAATTGTTTTTGACCAATTTACACTTACTAATTTGAGGACGAGGTAGGTGGAGATCAGACACTATTCACGTCCAACTCGTACACACTTAAATACATAGTGTGGATGGCATTTTTAACATAACCGTCAAAAACTTGGTTGGAGTCTTTTTTTTATCCTCACTTCAGTCCAATTGTCATTGACAATTGTCATCATTGACATAACAAAAGTAGGGATTATGAAGGATGTCAATAAATTAAGCCATTTATTAAAAATTATGTCAACTTACAACAAAATTGTTACTTTAGTTTGTGAATAAATTAAATATAAGCTTTATTTCTTTTCTGGATCAGTACGAAGACATTATTTAAAAAAACTGAAAAGAATCAGCCACATATGCACGTAAGCAATGTATAATCTTTAAGTGCACAGCAATTATTAAAATATATAGACTGCATTATATTTAGAGAGTATCTTTTTTTTTTTTTTTCAAGCATTCATTGATCTGCTATATAATAAAATGTTTAAACGATAATAATCTGAAATTTTACTAAATAATTATAAAAAATATCTCCCCTCTATACGAAAAAATAACTTGCAAATTGTGTCCATCACATTTAACAATTGAACATTAATAACATAGAACTTTCAACATAGAAAAACTTGAAAATCAATTTGAAGTGAGCCTAGAATTAACCAAAACTTGAGGGTGCAAAAAAGACATCACCAACTTTTGTGTGTGTGTATATACATATGTATATCAAATATGTATGCTTGTCTGAATAATACTATAAATATATATTGTGCACATATATATTTATATACACACACAAAGTTTTACTGAACTTGAAGTTTAACTAAATGAAATTAATATTCATCATCCTGGTCTTGTCCTTCAGAAACATCTTCTGGGGCAGCAAATCCATCCTAAAAGTTTTTAAAAAAATTTATTACCAATTTTATTTTTCCTTTCATTGATTCACTTACTTCTGTGGCATAGAGAATATCTAGAATTCTTTGAAGGACAGGAGATTCACCTTCATGTGCTTGGCAAACGACCTCAATATCTCTGAGCTTACCATAATAGAAATCACGCTCTTTTTCTAATCCATCAATTGTGAGTTTTGTCATAGAAAGCTGAAAAATTGTAACAAATTAATTTAAAAAACTTTAATTTTCAGTACAACTTTTAGTGTATCCTTGATACAATAGAACTTTTCAATTTTATTTATTGGGTGTTCATCGCCAATTTGCATTAAAGAAAAAAACTCTTGCATAGACTTACAAAATGCCTCAATTTCTATTTTTAAGACAACAGGTCCTGGAATCTTTGCACCTTGTACAATCAGCAAATGATTCAGAATACTTGCTCAAAATAAAATTAAACGATTAAAAATTAACAGATTGTTTGTATATTAACGAATAGGTTTGTTCCAACATATCACAAACAGTTGAAAACTAATCAACGATTTATTGACTGCACACGCATGAACAGACATTTCTAAACGCAGTTGAAATGCTCGGACTAGTACAGTCAAATGGTATTTTCCATATGGTTTGTAAGTTTAAACACTTCTTGATCATAACCAGTGGCTAGGATTCTTGAAAGTCACAGCTCTCCCCACTTGAATAAGTAGAGGGGCCAGCAAGGCTTAGCTGCCTCTGCCTGGAGACCGGACGGTCCCACTCCGCTACCCATCCCTGAGAGCTGAACTAATTTGGTATTGCCTTATCATTTACCTTATTCTATATTATTTATATTTTTCCCTGTCTATACTTTTTGTTTGATATGCAACCCTCACCTTCACCTACGCTGACTGGTCATGAGCATATAATTTGATCTTTTATGACAAACCCAAGGGAGTCTTTCTTCTATTTTGTAATTTATCTTTATCTTTGCCATTATGCTTGGCACCAAGTTTGGTCAAATCAATTTAGTTTTAGTCTTTTAATTTATCCCTTATCTGGTTCAGGTCATAAAAATATGGAGTATCGGTTATTTGGTGTCTCCCAAAATTCAGACCGATCCTTGCTACCACTGACCAGATATTTATAGGGCATTTTAGGCTTATGTATACAGAGAGAATGGGTTAATGGTTAGAAGGGTCATGAATTTCACTTGACTAGAATAATCAATCCTACGTTCTAGTGACACCAAACAAATGATTCAAACACGCTCAAATCCAAAAATGCCAGCACCTTTGGATACAAAAGGCCATCTAAATTCCTGGTGATCCACAGTGTTAACAAATCTGGGTTTCCGCTGGTCTACCCTTTTATATTTCAAATAATTTTTGAAGGATATTCCAAATTTGAAGATATTATTGTACTTTATTATGTCATTTTATTAATGTAAACAAACCAGCAGAAGAGAATTTTCTTGAAATAATCGGCATATTATTTAAGGCCCCCATTTCTAAAACTTCCGAGTGTATTTTTTCCCTTTCTTAAAGTTGTCAGGATGTAAAAAGAAACTGGAGCCTTATTTGAAACGTAAGTATGATAAGTGTCAGTCCTCTTCCTAATTGTATGTGTATCCGAAATTGTTCTATTCTATTTCCTTCCAAAATGAATATGTACTAGGCAAAAAAAAAAATCTATATTAAAAATAAATTATTCACTTATCAGTAAGGCTATCTCTTACATTCATCCAGTGTTTTTTTTTTTTAAATATTTTAGAGGAAATGTAATATTTGAGGGTTTTTTAGTGCACAATATATGGTATTTTTGAGGAATTTTATTTATTGCAAAGAAATCCGGGTTCTAGTTATATGAAATATCTGATTTGATGAGAGCAATCCTTGGACTGATTGACGGTCAAAACCGAGTTCAAACTTGGCCTGAAACGGTGTTGGAACAGCCATCTGACATTTTTGAGATTGCATTTTTAGCCTGTTGGAACATCCAAGCTCAACTGCGCATGCACCCATTAGCTGATGGTTTGGATGAAGAGGGAACAAACCTAATATAGTTTATTTTTATTATTTTAACCATCAGCAATGGTTGTAATAAATTGCATACAAGTGGTCAAATAAACTACTTTAAAGTGATGTCCGATGTTGGACAGTTTATTGTCCTACATCGGCATTCTAACCACGATCGGTTTATTCTCCTTTCTTATTGTTTTTACACTAAGTTAAACTTACAAATATAAAACTTAATACAGACTAAATAATTTACCTGAGAACTCAGTTCTTCAATTTTATGTAGATCACTATTTAATCTCGAAGAGGTTACTGTATTTGAGTTTACTATACCTCCAATTCGGCTGTTTGATTTGGCAACTACAAATTAAAAACACTTTTTTAAAAAAATCCTTACAAAACATTTCATAAAGTTCAATTTTATTCAATTTTAAAGGATTCATGCAACATTAAACGACACAATGAATAAAAACAGCACAGAACTATTCTACCAAAGCTTAAACTTGAAATGAAATTACATACAAGGGGGTCAAATAAACTACATTAAAGTGTAAGCATCTATAAATTAATGTAAATAAACATCTAGAAGCTAATAATATTCCCATTTTTACCTGATTTTCTTTTCCTCCTAATTATGTAATTTTTGTTCTAACCCTTTATTGTTCTTCACCACTTCATAAATTAATTAGTTTTAGTTTTTTAAGAGAGCTTCCCTTATATTGTGACAATTTATTTTTATATCAGTCAAAGGGTTTATTACAATGATAATAAATTTGTAAAATGTTTCTTTTCTTATTCAAAATTTGAAATGTACCTCCTTTATATTCGCTACAACTGTTTACTACAGCAACTGCCAGGATGTTGTAGGTGTGTTATGCAATCCCAATATTGCGAGGGTAGGGAAGGGTGTTATCACATGTTAATAAATAATGCAATTAATTAAGGTTTTTTAGTTGAGATGAAAAAAAGTTAATGGCACGAGAGGGATTCGAACCCACGACCTTCCGTGACCTCGATCCACTCGGACATCAACTCCCCATCTCAACCCCACCTTATGAGTCTTCCCTCCTTTTGCCATTTTTTTTTTTCTGATGTCCGAGTGGATCGAGGTCACGACAGCTCAGGTGGTAGAGCAGCGGCGTATCTAGCCGAAGGTCGTGGGTTCGAATCCTTCTCGTGCCATTAACTTTTTTTCATCTCAACTAAAAAACCTTAATTAATTGCATGTATTAATTGGTCAAGCGGACCACGAAAATAGTGAATTAATAAATAATGTATTATAATAAAGTTTGATTTTAAATGTCTTCATACTGGTGGTTTAAGATCCTGCACTGATGACATAATACAAAAGAAGATTGGGACAATCGTCACAACCAATGAGACAAGTCAGAGGTGACACTAATATGTCATCAGAGGATCTGGAAAAGGAGAGGAAGATTTTCATAAGCTAATGCGTCTAAGAATTTATAGGTGTACTTTTCAAATTTTGAGTAGTGTAAATTCGTTTGCATAGATTATACGGTTTAGACTGAAATATTTTGTGAATTTCATTTTCATTCTCAATAAAATATTCCATCAAGTAAAACTTAGTTTTGCCTCCATAGAAATTTTAAAAAAAGTAAAAACTATTTTATAGCAAGTGCAACATAAAAATTAGGATATTAACATAGCCGTGTTTTTAGGTTGGATCCATAACTTTTTATTTGGCCATTTTCACGTTACTGGGTAGTGTACATGGGTTGGGTTAGGAATGGTTGGAGTTAGGGATGAGGAGGGTTAAGAATGGTTAGATTAAATAAGTGTTAGAATTAAATATCCATGGTCAATGCTTTTCCATAAAGTGGAACAAAATATGCAAGTGCAAAGCGGAAGTTTTCAGGAGAAAAATGGGCGAATGAACCAAATAAAATGTTCCATAATTATTTCTCTAGAATATACAAAATTAATCCTGCATGAATGACACACGTTATATCAAAATATTTGTCATGCTTACTGAAATGTATGTAAGGTTAAGTTAGGAATAATTACTGTTAGGGACAGGTTAGGTTAGGAATGGTTAAAGTAAATTAGAATTAAAATATCCATGATTCAATGCATTTCCGTGAAGCGGAACAAACTATGCAAGTGCAAAGTTCAAGTTTTCTGAAGAGATTTCCTTGAAGAGGAAAAAATGCCAAACGGTCCAAATAAGTTCCATAAGCGATTCTCTAGAATATTCAAAATTAATCCCACATAAATGTCAACACATTATATCAAAATATTTGTAGTGTTCACTGAAATGTACGTTAGGTTAAGTTAGGACTGGTTATGGTTAGGAATGGTTTGGGTTAAGGACAGGTTTAGTTAGGAATGGTTAAGGTTAGGGACAGGTTAGGTTAGGAATGGTTTGGGTTAAGGACAGGTTTAGTTAGGAATGGTTAAGGTTAGAGACAGGTTAGGCTAGGAATGGTTAAGGTTAGGCTAGGAATGGTTAAGGTTAGGGACAGGTTTAGTTAGGAATGGTTAAGGTTAGGGACAGGTTAGGTTAGGAATGGTTAAAGTAATTTAGGATTAAATATCCATGATTCAATTTTTTTCCGTGAAGCAGAACAAACTATGCAAGTGCAAAGGGCAAGTTTTCTGGACAGATTTCCTTGAAGAGGAAAAAACGCCAAATGGACCAAATAAAACGTTCCTTAAGTATTTCTGTACAATATACAAAATTAATCCCGCATGAATTACAACACATTACAGCAAAATATTTGTTATGTTCACTAATTAAAAAATAATCTAATTTTTTTAATCTTATCTGAAGTTGTTTTCTGTCATCATCAGATGTTACTGACTTATTGAGAAGTTTTGTTGTGTATTGAACAAAAAAAAATTAATTCGTCGATAATAATAATAATAATTTGAGATAAGTGAATGGCACTTGAACAAATAAAAATAAATATCAATAAAAAATAATAAAAAGGTGTGACCCCAATCACAAGTTTATTCAAAATTCTTCTTTTAAGTAACATTTTAATTTGAAATTGATTTCAGCTAACGAAAAACTGAAAACCCACTCTTGGAAATTATACATAGATAAAATAATGTTATCTTTCAATTGTTTCCCCCCAAAACTTTTTTTTAAAGTAGTTTGACTGTTTGTTAGTTATAAGTTTAAAAGTGGATGGACAACTGTGGATGTGGCGAGTAGTCTGTAGTAAGTCACTAGAGATGGTCTATGTTAGACCAAAACGTGTCTGACAAAATAAACACCTAGTGTGGAAAAGGCAGTTTATTTTTCACCCATCAACTTATTATGGAGTTCCACAAAATTAAGATGGACACTATCAAAAAATTATTTGATAATTTTATCTAACACTAAACCCCAAGTTGTATATTGACTCTTTGATAATTCTGAAATTAATGCGGGTTCCCAATTAATTATTTAAAATATATTAAAAGAAATAACAGCTAAAATAATAGTTTTACGATTTTATGACTTTAATAATAACTTCCAACTGTTCATCGGATTACCAGGTTTTCCCAATTTAGTTGCTGGTTGGGCCGTCAAATCGGTTTTGGAAGAATTGGTCTTTCTACTGTTACTGCTGTTGATTAAGTTGTTTGATTTAGTGGTAGCACTGCTTGCACACCCCCCTCCCATTGCTTCTCCGCTGCGGGCTGTTATTGCACAGTATTCTTGCCCAGAATAATTAGCATCAAAGAATTTTTTAAACCATTGGAGAAATTCGAAATTGTCCTGAAACTTGCCTTTAACAAGTTTGTCAATGGGAACAATCTGAAAATAAAACGCATGCAACAAAAAACAAAAGTGAGAAAACAATATTAAATGAGCATAAATAAATTAAAATTAATTAAAACATTCTCAGGCAAAACTAACACCAAACAAAATTTTCAAGACCTCCTTCGTTTGTACAGATTCAATTATGCAAAGGTCATTTAAAAATTTTAAAAACTTACAAAAATTTAAACGGAAACTAACAAACACATCTAAAATTCTACAGTGTGATTTATCAAATGTTGAACAACGCTATTGAGGAGAGAATAAATGATGGACATTGGTTATTTCACATTCTTTCATGTTTATATAACTAATACAAATGAAACTGATGAAAATAATTTAATATTTCATCACTTAATTTATATTAGGTTTGTTCCAACACATCACAAACGTCAATGAGTCAAAGAGGCCACCTTAATTCCTGGTGATCCACATCGATAACAAATCAGGATTCCACTGAATTTCATATTTTCAAATTATAAGAAATATCCGATTTGACAAGAGCAAAAGACTAGGGAAATGTCTAAGCATATACTGGATTGTCCATAGCCAAATCCTCAGACTGTTTTGATTGTCAAAAATCAGTCACAAACTTGACCTGAAACCGTGTTGAAACAGACGTTTGAGTTTGCATTTGTTTGAACTTTGAGTTTGCACTGCAATGCCTAAACTCAACTGCACATGCACACCGGTTTGCAGATGGTTTGGACTTATGTTGGAACAAACCTATAATAACTAAATAAAACAAGTAACAAGAAAATCTCAATCAATCATAATTTTTACTGAATGCTATTTAAACCCACTTTAAAATCTTGAGTAAATAGGCAAATTTTAAATTAGGAGAAAAGCAGCCCAATACTTTTTCTTTAATGAAAGAATGCAAATTCAATAAATATATGTCAGTATAGGTTCATCGCCTTACAAATTTCACAACTCTTTGAAGTCACATTGAAACTTTGAACCAGATACTTCTTAAAATTTAATATAATCGCTCAAAAGCAAAAACCTGATCAAGCAATTGTCATGTTTTATAATTCTTTATGGGTCAAACTTGGTCTGATAATTGAAATGAACTCGGGCCTCAATTAATAGTCCGTCTTTGTCTTTGGCATTTACTTATATTTGAAATTTTTACAACAGTTTAGGCTAATTTTGTATGAAATCTTAAATTTGACAAATCATCACAACTTTAATTTGGTGCTTAAATAACTAACTTATAACAAACAAAGCAACAGCATTTGTCATAATATTACAAAAATAAAGTAAGCAAAACAGATCTAATAAAGTGTGGGTGGGTGGGGGGTTATAAAAAAAAAAAAAAAAAAAAATGCATTCAGTCATCAACAAATTACTCAAACTAGTGAAGGAGGCCTTAAAATTCATGCCATCTGGTTACCAGAAGCTATCCGTCTGCTAACTGGAGGCTTAGGTGGAGCAGGTGCAGTGAAACCTGCCGATTCTATATTACCAGAACCCAACGTAATCCCACCCCTCACATCGAGTGGATCATATTCATGACCATCATAGTTTGCATCAAAGAATTTTTTGAACCATTGAAGAAATTCGAAATTATCTTGAAATCGACCTTTAATTAATTTGTCAACAGGGATTACCTGCAATGAAACACAATTTTTCTTCAAATGTGACATTTTTTTTGGAACGTTATTCTAGAAGGGCTTAATTAATCTTATCGAAGATCGTGTTGAACGAGTTGTAAAAATAAAATTAAAAATAAGGCAATACGTTCCAGGAAGAAAATGTCTGTCAATGGTAGGGATAGAATTGAAACAAAAACACAAAACAATTTCAATCCTTCAAGTCAGAATGAGCCGCAATAAGAATAGGGAAAATGGATAAAGATAAACAATCTTAAACTGTTGCAGTAGATAACAATGAGTAATACAGTTTTGATAAATCTTTGAATAAGTCTAATAAGAAGATAAAACCGTTTCCTGTAAATTTTGAATTAAGAGTGAAAAATTGCTGCCAATATGATTTCTAGGGCATGTCTAAATTGAAATGACTTACACTAAATTAAATTTATTATATCACCAAGGACAATTTTCCCAATCAAATCCTGTTTTGCCTAACACAGTGGGAATACTCTCAAAAAATCACCATTGGTTTCCATTTCAATATTCTGTTATGAATTAAAAAATATTAAAATTGACAAAATATTATAAACAAGAAAACTAAAATGTAAAAAAGACTTACAGTAATATCCTATTTATAAAAAGTCAATGTACACACATACTACAAACTTAAGAAAACATACACAACTAACACTACTAATTATTTTAAAAAAGTAAGTACTTTTTGAAAACTGAATACTTTAAAAAAAAAAAGATTTTATTTTAACCTACATTATTTTTTGTAATTAGATTCACTTAAGACTATTTAAAAAAGCACGCTTGGAAAAGCCTCTAATGAAAAGTATCATATATTTGAGCAGATTAATTTAGAAATACATTAAAATAAATAACTTGTTGGATTCGTAGAATGAGGTAGTTTAGAAAAACACCTTTTCCATTCATGTTTTGAACTTTAAACGGGTCATTTTCAGGATATCAAGTGCTGTGCTATTCTTGTAGTGTCTTATTGATGTTGTGTAAGTAAAATTGTTGTTCTAGACTACCTCATTCTTGACCCTCACGAATCGAACAAATTAGTAAACAACCAGTTACTAAAAAACGCATTAAAATAGATACTTTTGCTGCATCAGGTTGTAAATGATAACTCGTAGTACATTTGGAAATAATTAAGAAAAATTGCATTGAGGAAATAATAAAATAGATATAACACACCTTATCAACACCTTTCTTCTTAAAAGCAGCTTGTAACAGCTTAAAATTCTGTATGTACTCGTGTTCTAAATTGGTTTTAAATTTTATTCTTTTCACTGGTATACTCCCTGCAAAACATTAAACATTATATTAAAAAAAAAAAATTAAAAAAGAATTAAATTACCTGGGAAAAGCATATCCATGTATTGACAGTATGCAGCACCGGTACAGAGCTCTTCAATTTTAGTAAAATTTGATTGTAAACAATCATTAACCCAAGCGAGCATATCATGTCGGCTAAGATTTTCTGATGTTACATTAGTTGAATACACGTTAACTGCCATTTTAGCCCACCTGTTGAAAAACAAAAACAATAAAAATGACAATAATAAAAACTTAACAGTCTTAAATAAATAATAATAGTGATTTAAACTACAATCTTAAAATAAAATTATACGAAGGTCTAAAAGTCTAATGTAGGACTGTAGTAGAATATGCATGTTTAAACCATCTGCCCGTTGCATAGCCCAAGGAAAGAAATGCAGTACAACTTTACAAATGAACAATATGGTCAGAAAAATACGGAAAAGTATTTTTGGTAGTGTGTACCAGCTGAGGGAGGTCAGCAAGCCACTCAGCTTGGAGTCTGCTAGTGTCTGGGAGGGATGAGGCGTACTAATTGATTTATGCCTTCCTGCAAGGCTGACATTGGCGAAGCTGCGTCTTTTTTTAAGATCGAGTCCCTGGGATGGTACCAGGGTCTCACTTGGTGGGCACGGGCTGCATTCAGCGTTGGCTCTCCACAGTGGCTCAGTAACAGTTTGACCCCGGAATGTGAACATTTTCATACTTATATTATTATGATTTTTAAATGGTTTTTATTTACCTTATAAACCTCTAACGAGTAGAGTGGAAACCCCAAAATGAATTTCATAAAGAAATGCATGGGCAAGAGCTTCCTCAGGGGCAGCGATTTGTGTCTGGCAGGTGCTCTTTTTTTTTTGTCTAATTATTTTTTAATGTGCTATTATGGGCTATTTACCAGTATTTATTTATTTAAGGTTGGATATTTACCCATTACTTTTCTGATTGCAAACTTGCTGGATGCCCCAAAATATGAATTAGTTGATAACTCAAGTTAACTGGGAAAGAAAATACATATTGATAAAATATGTAAGTTTTTTTTTTGTAAACAAGATCTGTATGTCTGTGTACTAAAAATTTGTTAAATGTAGTAGTTATGATTGTTTATTCTTACAGGCAAATATTTCAAGTAAATATAATTAGGACAGGTGCAATATTTTAAAATTTAATAAGTTAATTTGTTGAATTAATCAATAAACAAATAGGTTTGTTTATTGATTTTGAGGTAATGGGATAAACATTTTCCAATGCATTACTGAGAACATCTACTACCACTTTGTTGTTTATCTTGCCTCTAAAAAGAGAATGCACAACCTAACAAAACTTCAGATGCCATACAAGTCAAAGTGCACTCTTCAAGACAATGAACACATAATTTAGTCACTTTCCATCATTTTGGTCTGCCTATCCTTGCTGTTTTCATCTATAAGACTGTGTTTTGACTTCTGTTCACTTCCAAATTCTTAAAAAAAGACAACCGTGTATATATTCTTTAACTCAAAGCTTGGCTGAATGTCCAGCGAGAGCCCACTCCTTCTTTTGTAATCTGTCACGATCTTAAACCGCTAAAGTCAATTTGTTCAGAAATGGAGATTTTGGGAAGATTAGTATCAAAACAATATTTCTTAGAGAGCTGTGAGTGCTTGTGATTGGCCTCGTCAATGTCTAAGGACTACTGTTCCTGTTTGACAAAGATTTCAGGCTCTCATGATCCCGAGCACTCACACAATTCTGTGATTCGTTTAACATCCCTGATTGAGCCGATCTTCTTTAAACCCCCTTACATGTACATATGTAGAAATAAATTCAGTTTTTTAAACATAGTAAAATAATACTAATAAAATTTACTAAACTAATGATAGTAATAAGGTACAATGAGCAAGAAGGCTGCAGTACCTGGGGAGCACAAACCCCGCATCCTAGTATACTCCTCAATGAAAATAATATATTATTTAAAATATTATTATTTATAATTGAATGATGAAACCAGATTAAGAAAGGAAAGCAGAAAGACAAAGAAAGTTTTTAAAAATTCAGACGCCATGGACGTGAAACAAGCCAGCGAGGAAACAGAACATTCTTCCCAGAGAAACAAATTCCAAGCCAAAGCCCATGCAATCCGGACGGATGAGGCTAAAGTTTTAGAGGAGTGTTGAAGGCTTGGGATATGACTGGTGCGTATGGATAAGGAATGTGGGCAAAAAGTTGATAGATATTGAGGACATTTATTTATTTTAATTTTAAATATGTGTTGTAAAACTTAAGTTTACAAGTGCTTAAAATGTGGAGATTGCTGATAGGCACTATAATATAATAGGAAATATATCTTGGTTTAAGATCATAACAGTATCTACTGCAATTGAAAGTGATGAGCAGATTGAGAGTAAGGAAAGCGAAAACATAGTGCTACAGTAAGAGAGCAAAGGAATTATTAGGGATTTAATAAGGAGAACTAAAGTTTTGTGTGGAGTGAAAAAGCCATGGTGTTGAAGAGAATGGAGGCTTGAGTACACCTTTTTAATAATAGAGCTCACATGGTAATGCCATATAGGCTTGGAATTAAAAATAACACCGAGATTTTTTACCTTTAGGACAAATATTAATAGAAGAGCCAGTTTTTTGTAAATTAATAAGGACTGCAATTTGTTAGGATTTAAAAGGATGCCGTTGTTATTGACCATTTGTTGTGAGAATAAAGGTAGAGAGTAAAGGTCCAAGAATAGAGCCTTGGGATACACCAGCTGAAATTTAGATATAATTTTGAAGCTTTAATTCTCTGATTTCTTTCAGACAGGAAATAAGATGAGTAGCAGTAGAAGAAAAACCAAAAAATGCATCAGTTTCCAAATAAGCAAATTATGATTTATGAAGCCGAATGTTATCACCAATGCCTTGGCGGATATGTGAAATATTGAGAAGAGATGTCTCACAACTAGGAAATTTTCAGAAGTCGGATGGTAAAGGCATGAGCAAATAAATAAAGATATTTGTTTAATGCTTTAGAGCAGGGGTCGGCAACCTGTGGCCCTTTGCAACTTTTTGTGCGGCCTGTCAAAGCCCAATATAATTTTAAGAAAAATCAACAAACTTAGAGCGTGAGCGTGCCGAAATGTGGCCGGTGACAAAAATGCGCGCTAACAGAAGCATAGTGGGAAACCTATTTTACTGCGCAAGTTTAATCCCCACTCCCCATAATAATACTTATACTCGTATATGATATAAAAGCACTATTTAAGTTACATTTGAATGTGCGGCCCGCATAAAAAAATTTATTTTGAAAATGGCCCGCTGTCCGAAAAAGGTTGCCAACCCCTGCTTTAGAGAATGATGGAATAATAGTAATAGAGCAGTCACTAGCAAGGGGGGGGGTCTAGTTTTCTTGGGTTAACCAACTATTAGGGCTTCCTTCCAGGCCAAAGGAAGACAAGATAAGGTGAGAGAGAAGTTCAAAATTTGGGTTATGTATTTTAAGGTAACAGGAAGGGGAAAAAATGATGAGTTTAATAAGAATTTAATGAGTTTAATTGAAACTAAAAGAAAATTTGTTAGTGATCTTGAAGAGCAGGAGGAAATGGAGTTATTTTGCCAGCTTGATTTTCTTTTTCTGTTTAGTCAGGTCTGATTTATTATATACATTTATTGTGAAATGGTTGGAAACGACCAAGCAACAGGTTCATCACTCTGAATAAATCAACAGGTTCATCACCCTGAATAAATTATCTCACAATAAAATATACAATGAGCAGATAGTATAATTATATACAAATCTGACAAATCTCTCAGACCAGGAGGCAGTGGGGAGAGAAACAAGACAGTGCTGGAACTCCCTTTTATTTATTTGGGAGGGTAAAGATAGGAGGTCATGAGGCCATCATCATTTTAAACAGCATGGAGGATTATAAGGATGTTGAGGAAAGAGTTTGATCCAGCGGGTTAGGATGTAGGGATAGTTTAGAGTGGAAGGGAAGCATGCTCGGATAAGATCCTTCATGAATGGGATTGAATAGGTCTTTATGGAGACATAGAACTGCATTGAGGATATGGTGGAGAACTTTGGTTTGAAATGATTCGTTAGATGTTGGAGAATTTGGACGAGACCCACAGTTCGACTCTGTCCAAATCAGTCTGATGTTTTGTAAATGTTTATATACACTTTATGTTGATATTGGGTAGTCGTCTGAGTAGTCATCTTTTGTTCTTTTCTTAATTCCTGGTTAGTGATTTATTTCAAGGTGTTTTTTAAGGAACTCACAACCATTCCATCAAATCCATTTATTGAAGATATGTAAAGTTCTTGTCGTTTTAATCTTGTATGTCGGTTCCGTGAACAAGGGAGAAGAAAATACAAACAGGAATTTTAACATTCTTAAAATTGTCAGAGGGGTCGTAGACCCGAAAGGAGTTTATGTGCAAGTAGATTGTATCGATAGTAACAGGAGAGAACCACCTAACTCTTCCAGGTCCCTCTAGGATCAATAGAAACCACGAGTGAGAAATAAGTGCATGTCTCCATGGAGCAACGGATTATTATCAAGTTTTTGACCAAGGGGGGAGGTGAATCCAACGGAAATTTTGGAGCGATTAAGGGCTCAGTATGGAGACAACACCCTTTCAAGGATCCATGTTTTTATCAATTTTCTAGAGGATGTGAAAAGGTCAAGAATGACAGCCACAATCTCCGCCCAAGGACGAGTGTGACAAGAGGCCAACATTGAAGCGGCTTTTCATATTGACTTTTTCCATGATCAGTGCGCAGTGTTATTGTGAATTATCGGATACTGCAAACTTTTCATTTCGAAGGAGCAATTGGCCAGTGCCAGGTAACAACTCAAACGGGTAACACTACGGGGCAAAAATTGGATGCAATACCCCTATAGTACAGAATTGTCACCTTGTCTTTCAACTTTTTGGACCCCTCAAAGAAGCACTTGGAGGACAGCTTTTCAATGGCAACAAGGCGGTGGAAGCATTTGTGCACCAATGACTACAAGAATGTCCAAAGGGTTTTTATGACGATGCGATAAAAAAACTTCATATCCAATGGAAAAATGTATTCCTAAAGCAGGAGAATATGTAGAAAAATAATATATTTTTGTAAGTTTAATTACATACTTTTTAATGAGTCGTTTATATTTGACACACCCTTGTAAGTCTGTTATCTAAGTAAAGCCCAAGGTAGGGACATGGTTGGATTTTTTTAATTTTTTTCAGTTTAAAGCAGAATTTATGAAAATCAGGAATAAAGTGAAAAGTCCAACTGAGAGGGATTTCAATGTGCTGACAATCGACACTTCTCTCCGATCATCAGGTTAAAGCGAGAGGTCAGAACGATGCAGGAAACTGTCCCCCGTACTTTATTAGAATAATTGATAATCGTATTTATTCGGTAATGCACGTGCTAAAAGAAGGAATTAACCTTGTCTTGAGTTTTTTATTTGCTTACCGGCCTGAGTAAATATTTACAAATAATTCACAAAGTGGATCGTTTTTTTTTTTGGTTTTGTAAGCGGATTGACACAGGACTGTCGGCTTCTGGAACAGGGGGTCAATCCGACGTCGGATAAGCCAAGCGAGACGAAACGGACCGATGTAAAGTCGAGGATGAAATCGAAGGGGCAGGCGGAAAATAAAAGAGGGCCGATGTGTTCTGAAAATAACGGTGACCGCGACGGCGACCGCAACCCCCGCACGGCCGGCCCGAGGCGACAAACGACTTACGACGGGCGAAATGTCGTCGGACGATCAGACGAGAAACGAAATCGTCAAGGGAGCGTGTAGAATCCGCGGACCGTTAGACGGCAAAGGTTCACCGCAGTTAACGTGGTACCGAATAACCTAATAAAGAACCACAGATCCGGGATCCAACGGCGGAACGGAATAAGAGAAAACGCCAACACCGCCGGCAGACAAAGCCGCCTCACCCGGATCCCATCGGACCGAATGAAAACATTTCAAAACAAAATAATACGTCAAATATATAATTATAAACTTTCAGAGAGATTCGGATAAAGTTTTTCTTCTTTTTCTATTGAGCGGCCGATAAAAATATTATTAAAAAATATAATGAATGATGTACCCTGTTGGTGAAACTCCTCTCACGCCAGTGGAACGTTGTTAAAGTGCCAATCGCATGAAACTCGACTCCTGAGGCTCGACTTCCAAACTCCCCTGTTATAACAAATCCGTGACCAGTGCCTTGATAAAAGAAGTGGGGCGAAGTCAAGCGCGCGCCTTTCCGCCCGTCCGAATTTTTATTAAATCTCGTTTCTTTTCACAAGACGGATTTCGAAAAAAGGTTTTTTGGTATAAAAAAAAAATTTCTTTTTCGAACTGGAAATTCAGTCGGTGTCCGACGTCGAAGCTTTTTCCCGCGTTTCCGCTTTCGAGTCGGACCGCGACCGGCCGCGTCGACTGTCGAGCGTTCAAACTCAAACCGAGTGCTAAACGCCGACCGGGACGAAAAGTTTTCCGACGATTGTCTTTCGACCCAACATGAAAACGGACTTTGTGACAAAAGTCTGAATTTTAGTCGCCAAAGCATTGACAGGACTTGGCGCCGTTAAGTTCATCTTCGTTCCACATCGAACAAACAAGTTTTGTCCCAACCAGCGCGGTAAATTTCAAAACGAGGTCTCATCCCGACTGCAACTTTCTCCTTCTGCACTAAACCGCTCAATAAATATTTACAGTTTTGTAGTATTTACTTCCCCTAGAATTTTTATTTTATTTTTATTATAAATTGCATTACAAATTATTAGAAATTATTATGTGAAGGAAAATTTAATTAAGGGATTTGGAAAAAATAAAATAAAATAAAAGGTGTTAATTCCATAATTTTGTTTACATGACGTCCTCTGTTAGCTAAAACCTCTGTGCACCTTATTAGGCATACTGTTAATAAGGTTATCACTAATTTCATAAGGAATTTCACTCCACAGTTGTTGCAATGCTTCACTCAGTCGTTGCAGGTCAACTGGCTGTGGATGGTGATCGAAAAACCTTCTCTGCAACGCATCCCACATGAGCTCAATGGGATTGAGGTCTGGAGGCAATGGCGAGGAAGGGGCAGATGGGAAATTCCCAGGCTTTCTAAACATTGATGAACAACTCTACCTCTATGAGGTCTGGCATAGTCATCCGGAAACCGAAAATCCCTGACAATGAGATCCCTGGTTTGAGGGATAATTTCTTAGACATAACGGACTGCGGTGAGGTTGCCTTCAACAAAATGGAGTTCAGTTTGTCCTCCATTGTAAATCCCAGCCCAGAGCATTACACCGACTCCTCCAAACTGCACTGAAAGGAGCACGAACTGGGGCATTGTACGCATCCCCTGTTCTCGGTAGACACTTCGGCGCCTGCTATCACTATACAGACAGCAACGCGACTCATCAGTAAATATAACAGCATTCCAATTGGTGTTCTCTTCTAAACGCTCGCTGTACCATATTCTCCTGAGTTGCTGGTCGCGGGGTGTTGCTGCAGATCGTCTCAAAGAGGATACGATGTGAGGTCAACTTCCCACGATTATGAATCGTTTATGTTGATGAAGGCCTTGCGAAAACATATTGTACTTCGTTTAGGGTCTGGCGGCCACTATGGAAAGAGTTCTGTCTTGCAGCAGCGACAATATTTCTGTCCTCCCTTAGCTGAGATCCACTACCAGGCCTCCTATTGGCACTTTCAGTCTCTTGGAATATGGCCAAAGCCCGGGAAACCACGCTGTGAGAAACGCCAACTAGCTCTGCGATATCCACTTGCCGGTGACCTCGATGACTCATTCTCACAATAATATTGAGAACTTCTGATAAGATTACGTCTTTCCTTGGTTAAAGAGAATACAACTGGATTAAAATAGAAAAAAGACGAGAAAAGGTGTTTGTTTAGTAAATGAGAAATCTTCGTGTTTACTACTCTTAAGTAAATCCGTTTTTAAAAGTAAGGATTAACATTTGTTTGTTTTTGGTTTATTATTTTCTATTTTGTTTAATCCAACTAACAATATATCGGTTAATTTTATTAAAATTAATAGACTAAGAATAAATTACAAATATCCCTATTCATTTGTGAGCAGTTTATAATGAGGTGCCATCGCAAAGAAGTACAAACTTTTAAAGAAATATTTAGCCCTGTTATACTATTGCTTAAGTAAATTCAAAAAAGCGTTTAGTTCCAGCAGATTTATAGTACCTGTAGTTGTATGTATATGCTATCAGTATTTATGGTACTTTACCAGAAATAAAGAAAATATTCTGGAACTAACAGCGTTTTTTAATTTACCTACACAATAATATATAACGAGGTTCCACCGCAAACTTTAAAAGAAATATTTAGCTCGGTGTTACTCCATATTTAATTATATTATATATTTATTTGTTTTCCAATTTGAACCCCATTTTCTTGAATCTTTCTCAATTTGAGAGCTTGTATTTATAAAAAGAAAGTCTTTGGAAATAGTTTCGGATCGTGTTTTTTGTAAATGACAGAAAAAGGAGAGATGATATCTCGGTAGAGACGGAGTTGGCGTATCGGCAGGCGGTGTCGTGTGACTGAGTCACCTAGGGAGTGGCCGCCACCGCCCGGCGACCGTATTTCGAACCTCAGGGCTCATTCTCAGCTCGTCCGCCGTCCATCGTTCGCAGCGTGTCTCGAGCCCGCCCGTTTGTTTGTTTGTTTGTCTTTTTCTCCCGTTTTGTGTTTTAGTGCCGTGATAGCGTCGGTGTGCCATGTCGTCGACCCTGCGCCCTTACCTGACCGCGGTGAGGAGCACTTTGAACGCCGCGATGTGCCTGAACAACTTCTCCTCCCAGGACGTGGAAAGGCACAACAAGCCCGAAGTCGAAGTGAGAACTAGCAAAGAACTCCTTCTCACTCCCGTTCTCATAAGCAGGAACGAGAGGGAAAAGGTGCTCATAGAAGGGTCCATCAATTCCGTACGTATAAGCATTTCCGTCAAACAGGCGGACGATATCGAACGTATCCTATGCAAGAAATTCATGAGGTTCATGATGATGAGAGCCGAGAATTTCATCGTTCTGAGGAGGAAGGCCATCGAGGGGTTCGACATAAGCTTCCTCATTACCAATTTCCACACGGAACAGATGTACAAACACAAATTAGTCGATTTCGTTCTTCACTTTATGGAAGAGATAGACAAGGAGATAAGCGAAATGAAACTCGCCGTCAACGCAAGAGCTAGGATTTGTGCTGAAGAATTCCTGAAAAGGTTCTGAATGAAAGAGGGTGGCCGCTCTGCTCCATGTTCTCCTTCTTCACTTTGTATTCCTATCCGTCGAAAGGCCGCAGAACTGCCGACTGTACTGCATCAGCGTTGATTATGGACTTCTCTCGTACTTCTCATCTCTCCTGCAGAAATCAATTATTTATATTTTCAAAGTTCGTAACTGTGAAACGGTAAACATTGCTGCAATTACAGTCGAACGTTATACGCATTCCTTGCGATGAACAGGAAAAATATTGTTTAAATATATTGTGTTATGCATTCATATTGATATAAAGAAACTGTTAAAAAAAGGCTCTTGATATATTTATAATTGAATTGATTTTTCACGTACAGAGCCAGTTTTTTCATCAATGCATGGAAAATTAAAAATATATTATTTCATTTAAAGTTATTTTCATTTTCATTTTTTTATATATATTTTTTTTTAAATAATAAATCCATATTCTATGTTTATGCATTCTCACGATTCAACTTTTGTAATTCAACTTTACTCGTGACTTGAATCAATTTTTGTCCTTTCAAAAAAAACTGATCAACAATAATTAGGTGAAACATGATGTCGAAAGTAGTCGTATGCGAAGTTGTGTCAGTTTTTAAAAATTATTTTTCGGCTTCTGTCTACATCATTCTACGATCCAGCAGGGTTTCAGAGTAGTAGCTCACAAAACTCCCAACCGCATATCCTCCTACCGGCCCATCAGCCTTCTTCCTGCAATTTCCAAAATCCTCGAAACACTCCTTTTAAAGCGATTAATTCCCATACAAGATACTCTTAAAATGATTCCCTTTCCCAATTTGGCTTCCGTCCGCATGATTCGACAAAGTTTCAGAGTTTTAGCTCACAAACCTCCCAACCACATATCCTCCTATAGGCCCATCAGTCATCTTCCTGCAATATCCAAATGAATCCTTTTAAAGAAATCCTGGATACTCATAAAATAATCCCTCTCCCAGATTCGGCTTCCGTCCACATCATTCTATGATCCAACAAAGTTTTGGAGTTATCGACACTGTAGAGAGCTAAGAATATTGCTTGGATGTGTTCCTTAAAAACAGGCTTTTGATAGGGGCATGCTTTACAAATTTAAACACTTCCTACCCATCCTTTAACAGACATCTGCCTCAATTACTTGCATGGGTTCAATTCAACTTAGTAGTATCACTCATCTATACTACTGACATGCACACCCTAGTACCATCGTCACGACCTACACGACGATACAGCAATTTTGTCCTACTCGAATCCTATCCAAGGTTTAACATCCAAGAACACCTTGAGTTTATTGAAAACTGGTGTAAAACGTCTAGGACAAGACTGAATGAAGAAAAAGGCACTATTTTCACATTGAAAAAACGTACAGCAGAGATAATGACTTCATTCAAGTCAAATACTTAGTACAATACCTAGACAGACGTGGAATCCTTATGCAAGACAAAACTAGTATCAACTGAAGGCTTGGACAACTATGATGAATTCTACGACTGAAATCTCTGTTAACCTTCAATGCTAAACTAACCTTCTAAGGTTGTTCTAGACTTTACTTCGACTACTTTATACATACAGAACTATAGGGTTCTGCCAAGCCATCCAATCAAAAGTCCTCGGACAAATATCAAAGTTTCTTCAGTCACTAACCTCACTCAATATATATTCAATATTCCTCCTTCAACAAACGTCCATTCCCGATTCCAAAATTTTCACACCAACCTCTCAATCCATCCTAACCCTACTGCTCAACCCCTCTCCTAAGAACTTGCCACGTCCCCTTAATCGATGATGGCCTCTAGACCTTACCCGTTGAACCCCTCACATCATGTCCTCTAGGTACACTGGGAAAAAACCGTTTTATAATCACATTTGTAATATGATGTAGGGTCTATAAGCATATGTATAGGGCACAAATAAAAAAATATATTTACATTGAAGAGAGCAATTAATCGCTATTATTCTCCCACTTTACTAATTATACTTCACACCCTACTCCTTAGAAAGGAGGTCTCAGGGCAATTTCATTTTGAGACGTATTATGGGATTGCAGGAATGGGTCCTTTTGGGCTAGAGACTATTGGTGCGATGGGAGAGAATTTGGTAAATTTTTGGATAAATGAAGTTTTAAGATCTTTGTGGAGGGTTTGAGAGACATAGAGAGAATTTGAGACATAATACAGAGCATTTGTAGTTTGTCTGAGCACATTTGGAAGGTTTAGTGGTTTTTTTTTTCTTTTTCTTATTGGCCTTATGATCTTTGCATATTAGCCATGACGAATTCTTATATATGTTGTTCATAATTGGGGGTTATCGGGAAAAAAGGGCCAGAGGCGACGGTGGGAATCGAACCCACAACCGCGGCGTGAGAGTCTCTCATGCTAAGGTTTAGTGGTTCCCAACAGTTCTATTCTGTATGTCCAAATAGGTGAAACCCAAGGTGGCAAACTCTCAGTTATATTTGGGGATAGGAACTTAGTTGTACTAGATAGTGGGAGTCTTCCTTCAAAGTGTAAATATGACATGAACTTGCTTTCATTTAACTTCATTTTCCATTGTCTTGACCATGAGAAGCAACTGCATGTCGGGGTCAGACGATAATATATGTGTGTCATCTACAGTATAAAACGTATAGAGGATTGATCTGAGCATACTGTGTTACTCCCATGGCTTGACTCTTGAGAGCAGTATCTGTAGTAATCTGATCCTTGTCAGACCCAAAAAACCACTCTATTAGGTAAGAATGGAGGATTAAGTAGAGGATATTTGGACATGCATTTCAGGAGACCCTTGTGCTGCACGCAGCTAAATACTTCTTACTAAACGCAAGGGAGGTGGATATACTTAATAATGCAAAACACTTGCTGGACTTGGAATGATGGGAGCGAAAGTGTTGGTCTGGGGGAAAGTTAGAAGAGTTTAATTTTTACAACATTCTTTTAATTTTCATAACTATTATTTAATACATTTTTGCTCTTTGTTTATTTATTCAGGGAATAGGGGTGATGGTTTAACAGCCAGGTCGTTGTGTGTCTTTATTTCCATAACATTTTCAGCTCCATAACTACAGCTCTCTTCATGCAAATATTGACAATATATCAGTTGGATAGCCTAATTATTTTTAATTTTTTAAATAGCATATTTATTAAATCAAATATGAATAGTTTCAAAAAGTTTTATTTTTTCCTGACGTAAAAAGAGGTTTTGTTGGGGGTGGCAAGGGCACCTATCTTCATGTAACAAGAAAAAAAAAATGGAAAAATATTGATTGATGTCCTAAATAGTTGATGCCCTTCAATATAATTTAAAAAAAAAAGTGTGGTGATTAGTGACCGTTAATCGATAATTATTCAGAAATCGTGCGATGTGGTCTGGTGTGATGTAGGTTTCAGAAAAACATTTTCTTTATCGTGCCAACGTTTTGATCTTTATTGAGATCATCTTCAGGGCCTGGGATTTACAAACATTGTTCACATATAACAATTGCATTTTGGATGTGGAAAAGTGAATTTATAGAATGCAAAATATATTTTTTATATATTCAATCAAAGTATTTCTACTCACTCAAAGTGTTTGTCTTCTGTGCAATTGTGCCATTCTTGTGTGTCGTGTCGAGAGTGCCATAAAAAAATGAAAAAAAAATATTTTGCATTGTATAAATTCACTTTTCCATATCCAAAATGTAATTGTTATATGTAAACAATGTTTGTAAATCCCAGGCCCTGAAGATGATCTCAATAAAGATCGAAACGTTGGTACGATAAAGAAAATGTTTTTCTAAAACCTACAACACACCAGACTGCATCCCACGATTTCTGAATAATAAAAAAAAAATCATCAACACATGCAGCTTTAATCTAAACACACTCACTGTATCACACATTCTTAAATATGTTCCCTCTCACTTACATACCTTTCTCTCAAGTAGGGTTATGGAGTACTAGATATTCCTCCATCACCATCACCCTTTATCATGCATGTAGACAACTATACTCAAAATACCTAGTCTGATTGAGGGTCTGGGTGATGATGATGAGATACTAGGGTTTTGTTCCCAAAGCCCTGCAGCCTTCTGGCTTTCCTAGTTCCTTCGCCTCAGAAGTATTAGGTCATTGTCTATTGCTGCTACAACTTCATTCCCTGTTTTTTTGTTTATGTATCTTAGATTATGTTTGTTATCATTCGAAGAGACATGGGTGGCTGTTTCTTCCTCCTTATTGCATAATCTATAAATGAGTTTAGTCCTCTCTAACTTAAGCAGTGAGTGTTGTTTTAGCATAAGATTACTGTGTCTAATGCTCCTAGAGTTTATCCACTTCTGTTTTTGTCTTTTTTGGATCCATTCTGTGATAGAGGATTCTGTTTGTTTTTTTATCCCAAGAATAGATTCAAGGCCTATGGTCTTGGAAGATCCTCCTCTGGCCAGTGTGTCTGCTTTTTCCTTACCCAAAATTCCTTTGTGTCCTGGTACCCACCCATCAGGTTATTGTTTTTCCCTGGGTTTTGGATATTTTGAATGGATTCACTGACTAGTTCTGACGTGATTCTTTTTACATGCTGCTTGGCTATCTGATCTTAAGAGGATTTTTTGTCAATGTTAACCTCTTTTGGGATTTTCTAAGGCACAAGTATTGACGGAAGATATTTCAGAGGGGTTCTTGATATTCCACTTGATTCATACTTGATATATTCTTGTACTGCACATATATTCACGCATGTTCCAATTCTTTAGATATCATAGTCTAGCTTCACCCCCTCAATTCAACCCAAGACCAACCAGCACCCGAGGCCCCAGACAGTCGTTGCCACAACCGAGCCCTGCCACGCCGCCAACATGGGGTGCCAGCATTGTTAACAAAAATTGTAGGATTATGAATTTACTTTTTATTTATTAGTTTAATGACTGTTAAGTTCAATTTTTTTTATTGATGTTGAATATTCCTTAGTATGGATTGGAGGTTGTTGCGGATTTGGTGGAAGTATAAAAAATAACATTTAAAAAATTCAGCAGTAAAACTGGAAATGATGAAGGCTGAAATGGTATCCTCATGATCAACAGACAGCCTGTACCATCCTCAGACCTGGAGCCTTTAACTTTACAAACAGGAATCACGTAAACAGGAGCTGGGATGAACCAAGGGTTTTCTCTTTATTTAATTGTACAAACATAACATTAATCTAAATTACAGTGACAGCAATACAATTGTAAATTCTTCCTTTTAAATTTAATGTTCAAATTGCTGTCTTCTTTTTGCCAATTTCTCTTCCAGTTCCATACCTCTTGTCGTTTTGTACTGTTACAATTACAAAGATTAACAAAAAGAAGAGAATTATCTTTTGTAAAATATCTAACCTTGCTTAAGTTACGCTGTAAGCTTAACTGATTGTACAGTCTTTTCCCATCTGCTGAGCCGCAAATAATTTCTAGCTGAGGAAGTTGTAACTTAAACATTTCACCACCTGTCATCCCTTTCATCATCTCACAAATCCTTTATTGAAACAAATCATATATTAAACACAAGAAAATATGTTCTACTTAGTGGTTTTATCGCTAATACCACCAGTACATTTATAATAATTAGTCAATATTATTTACCTCTCATTGAAATTTTTCTCTTTCAGCCAAGCAGTAACTTCATCCGGTTGAGAATGTGCATCAATAAATACCTGATTTTTACGCTTTAATATAATCGGCTTCCTACCGTGAAATACCGATAATGCATCCTTTAATTCAGCGAACATTTTATATTTTTCTGTATCTTCTGAAACTTGAGTTAAACACAACTGTAAATATACATATATAATTTTTTTTAAAGTAATTAATATAGGAAATGGTTTAAATAAACATTGCTAATAATAGACAAAAGACTTAAATATTGTCTGACATGTTCTTACAGTAATTGTAAATTCACAAACAAGGTGTTTTATTTTGTCAATAGTAGTCAAGACACAACAATCTCTAGAATAGACAAAATGGCAGTTTAGGTTTCAAAGCTTTTACAATTATTAGAAAAGTATTGTACAACAAATATAAAACTAAACTGAACAGTTTTTATAACTAGTCACCATAAATTTATAGAAAAAATGAGAAATTATGCAAAAAACTTAACCATGGATTTATTTGGTTCTCAAAAGTGAAGTGTGATACCACTGATTTCTGACTTATATAAGATCAATGCACACACATGTACATACATAAACACATGCTCAAAATTTAGCCTATTCCTTCCTGCAGTCACCCACAATTCGGGGAATACTGAAGAATAGAGTAGTACCCTCACTGAATACAATGGGTAGATTAAAAAGGCGAAACAAGAATCATGGAGGAAATACTGTAGAGAAGTTGAAAACATCACTGAAGCAGTAGATTCCACAAAGTCTTTGCCCAAGACCCTATAAACCCCATTGGAACATTAAAAAAACCAGATGAAAAACATACACAAACCGGAAAGGAAACATTAGAAATTCTAATAAATACAGACTTTCCTGAATCAAAAACTACTGCCAACCTGGAGATAAAGGAGAGTGCTGAACCCGCCAAAGGCCACAAAGCCAGCTATCAACAACTTCAGCCCATTCAAAAATTCAGGAACAGATGGGATATACCCAGTACTCCTACAAAAGGGAAAAATAACATTAATCCCCCCGCATGTAAAAATATACAGAAGCTGCCTGGCAATGGGATACAACCATACAATATGATACAAGCACATGGAGAACTGTAAAAGTAGTTTTCATTCCTAAGGTTGCACAGAAAAACTACACAGATGCAAAATCACATAGACCAATCCGTCTAACATCCTTTCTACTCAAAAAGCTCGAAAGACTAGTTGAAAAACATATAAGGGGCAGCTCTCTAAAAGAAAAACCCCCTTATAAATATCAACATGTCTTCAGAAAGGAAAATCCCGTGAATCAGCACTACACCAATTAATGATACAAATAGAGATACACTGAACAACCAAGGAATAGCCTTAGGAACCTTCATGGCCAATGAAGGAGCATTTGATGATACTCCTTTTGTAGCGTTACATCACTCAAACAGCGAGGAACTGACAAAACCTGCTGCAGATGGATAGAATCAATGATAAAAAGCAGAAAAGTGCGGGCCTTCATGTTCCACAAAAAAGTAGAAGCAGCAGTGGCGAGAGGGTGTCTACAAGGAGGAAAGATAGTGGATGATCTCATATGCAAACTAAATGAAAGTGGAATCTATACCCAAGGCTATGCAGATGACATTGTCATACTAGTCAGGGGAAAATTTGACTGACTATTAAAAGAGCTCACCCAAAGAGCACTAAACATGGTGGAACAATGGTGTTCACAATGGGGACTTAAAGTAAACCCCTCAAAAACTACCCTAATTGCTTTCACCAAGAAAAGGTCCTCACCTGCACGTACTACAGCAAAAAGTAAAATATTGCTAATGACCACAAGAAGAACCTAAGGCAAATCTTGGGGATGAAAACTGAAAATGGCCTATTGGCTGTACACAGCAATAATAAATAAGGGCCAAAATAACCTATGGATTAATTTGGTCGACCAAAGCTCAACAAAAAGTAGCTACTCAATGTAACCTATGTATTACAGGGGCAATGAGAACAACCCCTACAAGTGCACTAGAAACTCTGCTACTTCCCTCAAAACAGTTGTACTAACAGAGGCTAGGAAAATCTCATATAGGCTCCAAAAACAATCAAATTGGATAGGAACTAAACAATTCGGGCACACAACCATAATTAACAAAATCAGACACCCATTCTTAGAAATGGGAACTGACAAAATGATCCTAGAAATATTCTTTGGAACATCTTATAAAGTCTCGACAGACTATAAAGGAGAGGAAGAACACAGGGGAGCATCAGATACAATGGTATGGTATATAGGTGGCTCCAAAACAAATGAAGGAACCGGATCAGGCATTTTCTGTGCAAGCCCAAAATATGAGCAATCAAACTCATTAGGGAAGTACACTTTGGTCTTTCAAGCAGAATTACATGACATCAACGCTTGTACACTAGAAAATCTTAAAAGAGGTTACTTTACTGAAAAAAAATCTTTATAAGATTTGATAGCCAAGCAGCTATTAAAACATTAGCATGTAAAAAAATCACAACAAAATTACTCAGTGAATGCATCCAAAATCTCCAAAACCTGGGGAAACACAGCAACCACCTGGTGATATCTTGGGTGCCAGGGCACAGAGGAATTTTGGGTAACGAGAAAGCAGACACACTAGCCAGAGTAGGTCCTACAAGACCATACCTTGAATTGGGATAACAAAAACAAATATAGAATCCTCCTCAGAATGGATCCCAACAAAACAAAAGGAGAAGTGGATAAACTCTAGCAGCACTAGACACAGTAAACTTAAGATGAAACCACCCTCATCAAGACTGGAAAACTCACGTCTGCAGTTGGAGAGGACTAGACTCAGAGGAGTGATGGGACTACTAACCGGTCACTGGCATCTGAGAAAACATCTACACAACATATACAATGATGATCCCATCTGCAGATTATGCAATGAGGAGAAGGAAACAGCACCTATATCATCTTCAAATGCGAAGTAACAGCCAATGGAGTTTATCGTAGCAGTAACAGTCAATGACCTGATACTTCTAAGAAGGATTGAGTCTGTTGCACTGACTAGGGAACAAGTAAGGTACAATAAGCTAAAAGGCTGCAGTGCCTGGGGAGCCTAGTATCCTCATTACCATACTGTACCATGCCACCTACAATTCCAGCTTTTGTAATTTACAATAAATGACTGGCAGGCTTCGAGAATCACCCACCACAGGTGTTGGTAGTCTGGGGTCAGGCCTTGACATCAACAGGTTATTTCAACAATGGTCATTTTCTCCAATGCTATCAGTTCCTAAATACAACACATTCACACTCTCAGAAATAAATCTCATATTTTTTTTACATGCTCTCTATATGAAGCCAAGGAATTGCACAGCTCAATTAGGTGGGACACATCGAGCAACCAAAAGTAACTGTCCATGTCTGTGTAACTTTCTAACTTCGCATAGCCTATCCTTAATTAGGTGGGGGGATAGCCCTTCATCTACGAATCAGATCCTTTAAGGGCCACATATCGACAATGGTCTTGATACGTAAGAGCTTCTCTGCTAATGCTACTGCTGCCGCATTCTTTTAATCATGATTTTTATTGCATCCTTAGCAATAGAGGGCCGGAGGCCTTTTCATTGATATCACTGAGGCCCTACAATCTGAGTAACCACAAATTTATTAGATGTGAATAAATAATTATCTTTGTTTAAACCAACTCATTATTTTAGTATGGGTTTGTTTAGTACTGTTTAGTTATTACATTGAGAGTAGAGTAAGTGAAAGATAATTTTGATCAAATTAACTCACCTAGAAATTTTTACACTTAATAAACAGATTCACCTTGTCTAGATTTATTTGTTGACAATATTTCTTTGTACGAGTTACTATGAGGTAGTTTTTGAATTGCTCTTATTTGCCACGGTAGCAGTCCTGGGTTCAAATCCTGACATAGCCCATGGATTTGTAATTGTGAATAATATAGAGAAAGTATAGTAAAGCAGTTTGACCTCCCATCCTTGACACCCAACGGGTAGATGGATGTTAAACTCTCCGATTAGGAGGGCCGCGGTAGCCGAGTGGTTAAGGCATCAGACTCTCAGTTAGAAGATCCCGCGGTCATGGGTTCGATCCGCACCGTCACCTCTGGACTTTTTCTGACGCCTAAGGGGACCGGTGGCCTCAATTGAAAGAAATTGACACGGCACTCACCAATGGAAGGAGCGGGATCAGATCTCAGCGACCCTGAATTTGGTCCCAACCCCCTTCAAAAATGAGTTTCTTCGATGGAAGAACACTGGCACACCGGAGGCTCAATTCACCCTTATGTTGCGAGCCCCCAAAAATGGAGCCAGGGATAAAGTACAATAAGCAGCTGCAGTGCTCAGGAGGGAACTCCTCCAGTTCCTGGTAGCTATTGTTTAAAAAAAGGGGGGGAAACATATATGTCAGGAATTTAATTTTTTAATTCATTTATTTTTTAACTATCTTCAACATACAACTGATATCTAATTAATTTTGTACTTATTTTTAATTAATTAATCTTTAATTAAGGTTTTGGTTGAGATAAGAAAGTCATCTAGCGGGATTCGAACCCACGACCTTCAGCTAAATACGCTGCTGCTCTACCACTTGAGCTATCATGACTTTGAACCACTTGAACACTAACCTCCCATCACATCCCCACCTTTTGAATTTTCTCTCCCTATTATTTATTACACGTTTTGGCCACTACTTGTGATTGTTCTTTTATAATTTGTCAAATATTTTAAATGGTGTAAAAGTTTTGGTTTTGTCCATTTTAGTACATCATGGAGTAATTTTAAGTCTGTAAGATGTCCTTACAGTTGTTACTGTATCATCGAGGATTTGGCAATAAGACAAGACTGATCAAGGCCAGCGTCCCACAAGGGAGAATTTTTTTTTAATAAGGAACCGGGGCACAGCGGGACAATAGGGGCATATGGGCTGCACTCTCAGGGGTTGAGATATTCAAAATTTCTATTTTATCTTCCCTGTTATACCTGATTGGGATGATGGGCTTGGACTGTGATACATTCACATTGGCCTTGTAGATGCAGCTCTGCCCGCATCACATCCGACTGCAATCTACACTACCGCAGGTCACACTTCCTTATTTTGACTATTATTAAATTAGATTTCGGCAATTAATTCTATCTCCCTTAAAAATCAAATAGACTCGAAATCGTTGCTTCATTGCCAATAAACAATTCAAACAGAGAAGCCAGCAATCCACTGCTTAGGTGTGCCCTTCTGTACCATTCACATTCCAGCAGTATGTTGTGCAGTGCCATCAGATACCCATGGGTAATTCACGTGTGTCCAATCCTTAGTCTTGCTCAGTTTTCTATTATTGCCCGAATTGATGGTTCGTTCATGGTGAGTTGTGCTTTTTCTCATTTCTTGATTTGAGCTAAATGAATTTTTATAGTTTGGTTGTTTCCATTTGACAGGCTGAAATGATCTGAAACAATTGGGTGGTTCGTCATCTTGTAGACCCCAACAAGACATCTCATCTCACAATATTAACAAGATTTTGGGCTGGATACATAATTTTTAGTTACATATACATTTTTTAATGGCCTTATGAACTTTGCATATTAGCTAAGGAATGTGATATATATGATGCGTCTTTTTTGGGGGGGGGGGATTGTGTGAAAAAAGGGCCCGGGGCAATGGTGGGAATCTGACCCACGTCTACAGTGGCCCGTTTATATATACATGATTCAATGTTTTTCTATGAAGTGGAACAAATATGCAATTGCGATGCATTTTTCCCATTTATCATTAGACAGGTTAATCAGTCCCTCTGCCTTATGTGTATGGCATTGTGGTTTTAATATTGCAATAAATCATGTATCACAATTCAATTTATAGTAGATGATGGGGTTTGATCTGCGAGTTGGCGAACTCATGTTGAACACACAACGAATTCAATTTATGTTTAAACAGTTCAAGTCCATCCACTAATTAGGTTAATTTAAAATATTGAACTTGCAAGTATTTAATACATAGTTTCTATTGGGGGTGCAAATCAGTTTTAAAGGATTTTCTATAAAAAATGGGGCTTTATGGTGCAAAAATGATAACTTTTCCCCATCTTTCTGGCAGCATACGAATTCCTCGTTGAAAGAACAACTGGTCAACTGGTCTTTAGAGACAATGAAAGAATCAACCCACTTTTTCCTAGTAACGTGTTGCTAAAACGAGCCAGTCATTGATTGAAACAAGTGGTATTCAGAAGGAGCACAGTAAGTATATCCCATTTGAGTGTTTCCAAGTAGTTTTTGACAGACATAGAACATGTAGTCGTATGTCATGCCTCTGCTCATCTCTTAACGCATCAATTTTAGTTGGTACCGATTCCCCGGCATGGTTTTATTCAGTTTTAACAGATTGTAACACTACACCCATCCATCCCACCGAATTCAGAGCATGGGCTTTGATCCATCGATATTTGGCTTCGCCATAAATGTTGTTGCATGGCCGGGCTTTTCCAACAATTTATTATCCTTTGGATTGTCATAATGAAATCATCAAATGGTTACAATTCGATGCAAAAAATTTATTTTTCAAAATCACCACTTTTTTTTCAAATGGAAGCAGAAAAGTAAGCTTCCCTTGCAAAATTTGACGAACTGAAAATTAAAGCCAATTAATGATGCTTTAATAACATGAATGTGATTAGATGATGCGATTTAATACAGCAACACTCCTATAAAACCTTTTTTTTAAATTCTAATTACAAATTTTTTTAATCAACGGTTCGCAACAGCAGAGGCCCTACCTACGTCAACCCTTGGGGTGTCGGTGTTTAAAAAAAAATATTTGTACGTATATCGGGTTCAAATGCAGGTCTGCTGGACCTCTAACCTGGGACCTTTACCTTACAATGATGAGTGCCGTATGTTAACTGCTGCAGCCACTAAAACCCTGTAAATCCTTTAAAACTTACTTCTACCCCCAATAGACGGCACAATACAAGGGAATCATGACCAAAAATATAATCAAAATGTTACATTATATTATATTCTTGATACACGATTGACAACATATGCATAGCAAAGTGACATTGAGGAAAATCAAAGTACACAGAACAAGGATAATTGACACAAAAATATACAATATACAAATTTTTGGACGGTTTTTTTAATATTAAAATTCGATAAATTTATTTTAAACGAGTACGGCAATTGTTGACATAGATTAAAAGTTCGGTTAACATAGTCATTTTTGCAATTAACACCTGTCTTATTGTACTTTTTTTATTTACCCACCGGTTTGTTCTTGATGAGCATACAAGTGTATATTTTGAAACACATTGCTACTATCTGTAAGATTTAGGCAATTGACGAATCTGATGATAAAGGGAATGGACATGTTCTATCTCAATGTTTTGGAAATAGTTTTTATTTACAAAATAACAATTTGTGTTAATAAATTATTCTTTCGCCTTTAATTATATCCAAATAAAATATGATTGTAAGAAAGTAAATAAATAAAAAAATGTATATAATATTATATAGAAGCATTTGAAAAGATAAAATGGTTTAATTAAAATAAAATAGAATGTCAATTGAATAAATCAATTATTTGTAAATTAAGTACAGTTAACAGTTATAAAATAATAGTAGGGGGATGGTATAACTTTTTATTTTATTTTTTAAATAAAAACTTTTCTTTACTATTTATCTTAAAATCGGATTGTCTTTACCTTTTGTCAATTGTACTTCATTGACAGAAAAAGCATCCTTAAATACATTTGCAACATACACAATAAACAACAAATAAAGCTCTTAATACAGATTTAAACAACAACATAACAATGAAAGATACACCCACTATTTGTTAGGCACAAAAAACAAAATTGTAACATTTAAAAAACTTAGCACATGTGTTTTACAATGACAATCTGTTTTTTTCTTTTGATGAAATAACTGTTGATTAATAATTCAAGACAATAACTGTCTAATAAGTACAAACAAAACTGAGGAAATTTCCTGATTTTTTCATTTTGGGGAAAGGTTCAAAAATACCGGAATTCTCCCATCTTACCGAGTCTCTCTTTACGAACCCATTCAGCCGTAGCAGGCGTCGGTTGGACGAGATTCGGTTGTGATGGCGATGTAGCTGGGTTCATTCCACTGGAATGCCCACCGCGTTCATCCTAAAATCATTAAAACTTGTAAAGTGGAAAATATCCACAATCCTTTTTTTTCTTCACAAATTACAATTTGTGTTACATTCTTTCTAGAAAATGTTAATTTGTGCAAATCTGCACAAACCATTGGAAAAAAGTTCTTTCTTGGACGTACAGTATTCGCATGGAATTATACGTGCATGTTGTTCTTTAATTTTTACTTTTTTAAATTATTATTCAACAGAATTTTATTTGAATTTTGAAAAAAAAAGAAAAGAAAACAGCTTTTAAAAATATGTCAAATAATTTTTTATTTGTTTCGACCCAGCATTGTGCGGGCTTACAAAGAATGTTGAAATGTACAAAATTAATGTTCTCATTTTATTACCTGAGGTGAAAAATAGTTTCTTGAAAACGACTGATTCCCAAAGACTTCACTGTCCAGCGGTTGATAAGGCGTCACTATTGTATGAGGGACGTGTGCGACATCGCCCCGACTGTTTCGAGCCTTCCACCACTTTCGAGAATCATCCAAAACCTGACCAAACAAGACCAAAAACCATTATCGTATTAACACATAACTCCTCATAAAGTGTTTTTACTTCACATTTTTCAATTATTATTTACAGATCATGAGATGCGGTCTGGTGTGATGTAGGTTTTAGAAAAACATTTTACTTATCGTGCCAACGTTTCGATCTTTATTGAGATCGTCTTCAGGGCTCAAAGAGTTTGTTTTCTGTGTAGATGTGTCATTGTTGGGTGTGTCGTGTTGAGAGTGCCCCCAGATTTTTCATTAAGTTAAATTATATTTTGTCAATATATAACTTGATTGTCTAAGTTCGTCCTGGTCGGCCTATTCTTGAGTGATATTTGTTATTGGGAGGGATTCAACATTTTATCATCAGTGGAGTGCCACAAAATTAGCAGACTAGGATGAACAGTGACAACCAAACTACAGGCTTCATCACTTTTCAGACCTCAACAGATCTCCCGAGCTACTTACACAACCATGATAGCTCCTAATTACTTGCAACTAATGCAGAAAGATAATACATTTAATTTTAAACTAAATAAATTGACTGGTGCATTAAATTTGTCTATTGGTGTAGTTGATGAGGGCCTAAAAATTAATAAAGACCAAGTGGGACATTGATTCCATTCTTGAAAAAAACCAAATATCTAGGAGTCACACTGGACCAACAGCTTGCATGGAATCCACATCTAATTAAAACTACGCAGAGCCAAAATTGCCTGGGGGAGGTACAGTTTCTGTGTTAAAAGCTGCTAAAAGAAACTCATTGGTCGGTTGCCCAAGACAAATGGGTTGGTGGTGTGGTGGACTTCGCAGGCTAAGGGGATCAGGCTATTAAGCTGGGTTTCCAGTGCATGAAAAAAAATCACTTGCGCAATTAAATGTGAGAATCACTCATGAAACACCGTCTCGGGTTAACCATTCCCGCAAAGCGAAACAAGATGAGTACTCAGTTTACGTGAGACAAGTATGTCGTTTATAACTTCATGAACTGCTGCATCAGTGTTTGCTATCATGACGATACTTTTTGTTGTAACTTTTGTATTTGACCCATTTTGATGCTATTTTCTTCCATGCATCCTCTCTTGTTCTTGTTACAATGAGTTTTATCTTTAGCATCCCACAAAATACGTACAGAATACATTCATTCTCATACTCGAGACAAGAGCGTTTATATAGAGAGAAACAAACAACATGAAACACTTTGATGTGTGCTAAAAACCCATAACATCCTCACACCAAAAGTTTTGCAGTCCCAGCTAGGTATCCACAAAGTGAGAAGTTTCACGAGTGATTTGTGCGCTATGGAAACCCAACTTTAGGCTTGCACTGAAAGGCAAGCTTGACTCAGTGTTACTACAGCCATAAGTAATGCAACTGCAGCCTTGGAGTGTTGATAAATCTTCCACCGCTCCATATTCTAATCTAAGGAAAAGTCAGAGAAGTCGCTCACAGGCTCATAAATGGACAACCATCTGCAATAGAAACTGAGGGAGTTGATACAGGCATGCCAATCGATGCCACTACTCTAAAATACAACTTCACCAACAAATATAAGGTATTTCTATTGGTATACTGATGGCTCAAAAACAGATAGAGGCATGGGAGTTGGAGTCCAAGGGATAATCATTTGCTTTGACAGTCAGCCATGAGGCTTTGACAGTACTCAAGGCCTTAGCCTCATGCGAGGTTTGGGCTCCCTGGCAGAAGTCAGTGATGTCAGGTCCCTGGGCATTAGGGCATTGAGAAAGTGGAAAAGCAGGGGGGGAAGCCAATATGAATTTTCTGTGCCCTGAAGTTTACGTAATTGTTCTCTTATAACAAGGAAAGTAAAATCTGCAAGCAAAATCCTACACTAAGGAGCAACTGCTGTCAAGGCAATGGAGGTTGATTAATAATCTGAAACTAGCCATTGATTTATAAAATTAGAGGAGCATAATAGAGGTGGTAGCCTACTCAGGCTGAGGTGCTGAAGGCCGGCCTTGTGGCCACCTCATTATCCCTATCCCTTGATAAACAGGATGGTCTACTCACAACTGGTTTTGCAGAGATCAGGATTTCAATTGTTAAATACTCATCATCAGAGCAATTTACAAGTACATTCACCATGCAGATTGTAGACAGTTCACTGTCTAAGATAGACACTATCTACAATTTGCACGCTGAATGTACTTGTAGATAACTTGCATAGTCTGATGATCCGGATCACTGCAAAAGCAGTTTGTCAGAGATCTGAGTTTTGAACTATTTAACTAATTTACCACTCTATCATGATAATTTTTTAATGGAAGTTCATAACAGCAGAGGCTATATCCGACCCTAGGATGCTAGTGTTTATTCAGGGGGGAAAAAAATAGTATGTCGGGTCCTTCGAATCTTCACAGTGATGAGTCGCCATGCCAATACCTAAATCGTTGCAGCCATTGACCCCCCCCCCAACCAACAATTTTTAATAATGACATTGCTGTTCAATAATTTTCAATTTAGCACCCCTCATTTATACAGTTTTTTATAGTTATAAAGATAAAAGAATATATTGATTTTCCTAACTAAAACAATTAATAATGGTGTTGTTAAAATTACCTGCAAGTATTCACCTCTGACTACACTCAACTCTTTGTCATTGTTAGCTGTCCTGGGATATGTTACTTGGACAATTTTCGTATCCATTCTCGTTAATTCTTCGAGCCACCTTGCTTGAGCCCTATCGAACTTTTCGCCGCCCATTACAATACCTGCTCCAGTCCTTTCGATTGAATCTGCGGAAATATCACTCCTCGGAGGAGGAGGTGGGACTTCTTGTTCAACAGGTGCTTGCAAATCGATCCTACAAATTGTTCATTCATTTATTTCTTCAATTTTAGAGTAACACAATATCAATGTTACCTCTCTTCACGACTGAAACGGTCGTTTCTGGATGGATAACTGCGTTCATAAGAGTACCTCGGTTCAGAAGGCGAAGGGGCTTGTCTATCATACTCAAAATAATCACTACTGTAGTGTGACTCTTCTCTTTCTCTCTCTCTTTCGCGTTCTCGTTCTCTTTGGTAGTGTGTTTCTCTCATGTCCACCTAAAAGAAATTTTTTTTTAGTAGTATGAATTTAATCAATATCAAAACAAGAGCAATGACAAGGAATATTCATTTATCGTTTGAAGGAGGAGGAGGAGGAAATTAATCACATTCAAGTGCTACAACAAACGGACCTTCTTGTTAAATTATTTTGAACAGGATGATGCCAATCATGGAAAATTATCACCTTAAGGGCAATGAGGACACAATGAAAATAAATCTTTCATGAAAAAAACAAAATGACTGATTTTTTTCTACAAATGTTTAAAAAAAAGATTAAGGGTTATTTGCCTAGATAAAGCACCCAGACAGAAACAAGATGAGGGTCTACAAGCTGAAATAGCGGAAACACTTCTCCCCCAGCTACATGTGGGTTTATCTATGAAATATGTTTAATGTTCACGAATAAAACATTAAATTATATTCATTGTTGTTCAGGGTCTGCTAGCACTGCCAGTCAATCTGAACCTCCAAACTGAAGCTAATTTTTGTCCAAGAATGGTCCCTATATTGTCCCATCAAGAGCTGTCAAATCCAATCCAAGTTATTCTTTAAGTGTCTATTATTTTCTATGATTATATATTTTTAACCTATGTATTTATTTCATTTTCACTATGAATCAGTTGTTTTTACTATTTTTAAATTTTTTAGTACAATTTTGTTTATAAATGTTTTAAGAACAGTATGAATTTTGCATTTTGCACTGATGATCTCTGGCCTATTGGTTTAAAGTGGAAGGTGGGACCCTGTGAAGTGCATCTGGTGAAAGCCAGGACAGGGCAGTACATCCAGCTCCACATTTACGCCCTATGCCCTCTTTTCACTTAAAATGGACCGCTTCAGACGGCCGTGGATAAGAACCGTCATCCTGCATAACGCATCAGAGGAGACGTAAATGTACAAGTTGGGGGAGTAACGAGAAATTCATGCATTAGTCTTGTGAGCTAATATGAAGTCTACAAATGACAATCGTCTATATTCTCTGTCTCTGCATATACCAACTTTTAAAGGGCTTCAGCATTTCATATTTTTTTAAAAATAATAGTTTTACACTATTTAATAGTTTTATTAACTATCTCCAACAAAATTAGATCAATAAAAAATTATAACTTGATCATCTGGACCCTCTCCTTCCTTATCATTAGTCCAGATAATAAATTTTATTTTAATAATTAAACTAATCTTCATGAGTAAAAATTGAACTTTAATAATGTATAAGAAAGAAAACTCACGTTTAACATTTGTATATTTTTTTTGCTTAATGGGAAAACTTTGATTCATGGATATGTAACCCTAATCATAAATCTAAATCTAAATCTAACTCTAACTCTAACCCTAACCTAACCCCCTACATATCCATATTAAAAAACTAATTATGAATTACTAATTAATAACTACTAATTACTAATTATGATCAAATTTAATTTTTGAGCAATTATACGACCAATCCTTCAAAATGCTTTGTCTAATAATGTGAAAAAATTATTGTGAATTAGCGCACAGAACTAAATTAATTGATTTGCATAAATTTGAAGTGAATTTTGTGTCGTTACCTCATTTTGTACAGCTCGCAATTCTTCCCCCCGGATCGGCTTATTTATCGGGCTAATTGAATTGCCCACATTAATATCTCGTCTCTCATCGATGTCATCAGTGACAGCATAATCTGGTGACCAGCCATCCATAAATACTGGCCTGTATGCTGGTACTTTTCCTTTCCATTGCTCTCTGTGATTGGAAATTCATTTAGATTTAGTTATTAACGCAATTGTGATTAGGTATACAAAGTTTCATAAACATTATTTAATATGTAGGAAATGAAAACAATGTTAATGTTAATTTTAACCAAGAAAATTATTGTGCCTATGTACTTGAGAATTGACTGAATAAAATAACTGGGAAAATATATAACAATTGTTTAAAAGGTTGTTATATGACTTTAGGCTATTAAAACAACCTTTCTTTTTAACTGTAAACATAATAAATAAATAAAATTACCTTGGAATTAACCAGGGATCGCCCAAAGAGTGCCAAAGCTCTGTTTCCTTGCTTGTAACACAATTCATTAACAAGTTAATAGCTTCCTGCGTAAGTAATGGAGTAACGACTTTAGCCGGTAGATTTGGAGCGTATTTCGTGTCATGGGAAGCTTCGACGATAAGAGCAAGGGGCGTAAATAAAAAGTGAACTAGCTCAGGTGCATTTGGATCGTGTATATGATGTTTCAGTTTAGCCTGAAAAATTACATTTTAAAAGCTTTACAGTATACAGTTGTTGTAATAATAAATTTGAAGTGTAATTACCAAAAGTATAAATGACAACTTGAATTTTTGAAATATATCCACAAATTCCAATTCTGGCGGAGGTTTAGCGCGCATGGTCAACAGGCCATCGCCCATATCTTTCTTCTTGGACTTTCTATTTCTGAAATTAAAATAGTCTTAATAAGAAAATGAGTTCAAAATGGGCAAATTCACTATGGTTAAAGATTTTTTATGCTACATAACTAATTAAACAATATATATACAAAATATTACACAAGATGATGTGGGACCACTGGTTTGAAGTGTTTTTGGCGAAACTAGATTGAAAAATATTAGACAAATGTCTGACCATTCTTGCCAATGGGCCAGCTGCTCAAAAAGACGAAAATCCTTGCACAACAAAGGTAGAAAATTGTAGGTTTGTTCCAACACACAATCACAAACTAGTTGCCAACTATGCACGCCAGAACATGACTGATCATGGATTCTTCACTCTGTTGGAACGCTTTTTTTCCTATTTCAGGCTCCTAGAGTCAAATTTTTAGTTTGCGATGTTGCCTGCTTCCATGCTTTTTGATCAGAACCTGGAGAACTGATTATTTAGTGCCTTCCAAAATTCAGGCTGATCCCTGCTGCCACTGTCCAGATATTTATAGGGCATTTTAGTCCCCATTATATGGGGGAAATGATTAGAAGGGTCATGAGCAGTTGACAAAAGATTAATCCTGTGTATGTTCTAGTGGCACCAAATGATTGGCTCAAACCCAAAATGTCAGCACCAGTTAAAGTGCCACCTATATTCCTGGACATCCGTGGCATTAACAAAACTGCGTTCAGCTGGCCCTTTCATAATTCACATAGTAATAGTAAAAATTATTCATAAATTTGCATATTGAAGAAATTTTTATTATTTTACTTTATTACATTATTTTATTAATGTTAACAAACCGTCACAAAACAATTTTTTTTGCCTTCCCTGAAGTAGTTGGGTTGTGGATGGAAATAGGAACCATGTTTTGAAAAATAAAAATTGTCAGTGTCAATCCTCTTTATAATTATAAGGTATTTTTGTGTGAATGACAGTTACATGCACAAGAGAATAAAGTACGCTCTCTTACAACTTGCCATGATAGCTGGGGTTATTAATCTAATATTATTTTCTCAATAGAAATTAATGTAAATTCCTTGATTGTCAGTCTATAGCCAATTCCTTGAACTGTTTTGTTGGTCAAAAACCAGTAATAAAATTGGCCTGAAAGCATGTTGGAACGGTTGACTGACAATTTGAGTATGCATTTGTTGCGTGTTGGAACACCCAAACTCAACTGCACATGTGCCCGCCAGTTTTGAAAATGGTTTGGACTTGTGATGTAACAAACCTTATATTAAAAGAAATATGTAAATTAATCTAAATAAATTTTTTCTAGGCTCCTAGGGTCCATTAGCAAAAATGCACTGACTGTTGTCTAATATTTTTATCACCAAAGTATCACCAAAAATGTTTCATTACAAAAAAAAAAAAAAAAAAGGGGTGAAGTTCAACCATAAATAAAATCTTACTTCTTCCGTCTTTCAAGTTCCCTTGATGCGGCTGCTGAATGCTGCAGCCTCGCGATAAATTTTTCAATGTCGTCAAAACAGTGGTTTAAAGTTGTTACATCACGTCCGTATTTTTCACTCGATGTTGAACTGCTTTCATCATCTGGATTTGCGTTTACTATGTCATTGCTGCCCCTCGAATCTGTCTCTAAATGTAAAACCATATTCAACAATTAACGATTCTCCAAATTAAAAAGCAAACAAATTTGCAAACAATACATACGGGAGACAGCGTTGAAAACTGAAACTTGTTCCCTAACGTTTATTCCGTTCAAAGGTGGTTCTGGAGGTGGCGTTGGGGGAGGAGGAGGGATTTGCCCGGTCCTCGGTCCGAGTGCTCTTCCAGCTCTGAGGTGTTTCAAGTCCTCCACTAATTCTTGGGCAGATATTATTTGGCACTGAAATTTTGTGTAAAATTAGTAACTTTTAAAACCACTCGAAAACTCACATCCCTTGAGTTTAAATTACCTGAAATATATGCATTTCAGAATGCGAATTTGGTCGTCCATCACCGACAATAAAAACTAAGATATTGTTATAAATTTCCATCGGATCGTTGCTTGTAAATGCTGTTGGATCTTGTATCAATGCAGCTGGAAACTTTTCCATGACATCCTGAAACACAAATTTACATTAAATATAGAAATTATGTATGTCAAAAGACAAAACGTAACTGTTAATTATTACATACAGAACAGAAACATATTATAACCTCTATTAAGAAAGAACTATGAAATGAGTTTTTGTTACCCCAGTCTCATTGTCGATGATAAGCACAAGGTTTTTATCCAATCTGAGTTGCATTTTTTGTGACCAAATCCCATTTGTCTTTTCAAGCTGCAAAAGCCTTCTCATGCCATCTACCGGATAGACAATTCCAGTTTCTTTCGAGACTGAAAATGTCGCTAAGTGTTCCATAAGATATGTTGGGCTTTCCTCTCTCTCGTTCCTCCCATGGTCAACATCTAGGACAAAAGTGACAATTATTAAAACAAATCTTGCAATTGTGAAATAGATTTTAAAAAATTTTAACGGATAAAAATATAATATTACCTGGAGAGAACCCATTAGAATGGACGCTCGTTCTATGATAAGGCATTGTGGCTGCTTGACAGCAAGTATTCACTAGAAGCAAAAAAGTTCTTGAAATTTTTTTTTGATTAAGATAATAATGTAATTAAAAAGAAGATGAAAATCGATTCATTAGGAGATACTCTCTGCGAAAGTTAATCGATAAATAAACTATTCAAACCATTCTGCCTGCATACATTGAAAAAAATTAAATTGTATATGTAGGAACAGTAATTTTGGACACAATTTAAAAAAAAAATTTTTTTCCACTCGTTAAATCATAAGATAAGTGTTATCTTATAATGAAAAATTTCAACAGACAAAATATCCCGTTGAAAAGGTTCGTTTCAACAACAACAACAGCTCAAAGTTCGTTCACTCGATCAAAATAGTTACAATTAAAAACAACCTACTTCATGGAATATTTACTCAATGGACAATTTATACGGACTATTGTTAAGTGCGGACACACCCAGTTATCATCCCAGCATCTTACACCAGTCCCTTTCATGTACTTTCTTTTCTCCCTGGGCCAACAAATTGGGTGCTGCTTCACAACTTACTAATGCAAAGTTAAATCTCTTTTAGCATCGATAAATAACCTAAAAATAAAGCCATTGGTTTAGATCTTATCCTGTAGATATGTTATAAATATTTACCAGCCTCCTGGACACACTATCTCTTAAATTTATATAATGAAATCTGGTTTCAAGAAAAAAATCTTGATAGCTGGGGACTAATTAAATTGAAATTGCTTAATAAAAAAGGTGCCCCAAATGATTGCCTGAACTACAGGGGCACTTCAATAATTAACTGTCAAGTAAAACTGTTTATGGGATAATTCGCCAGCGTATTTACAAGTAGGCTGAAAATAACAAATTAATTCTGGAAGAACAAATGGCATTCAGAAAAGTAGAGGTTGTTTATATGAGATATTTACCCTTTTGACAATAATACATTTGCAATTTAGAATAAAAAGTAAGTTAAAAAAAAATTTCTAGATTTTAAAAGGGCATTTAAATTTATTTATTTTAATAAAAACTTTGTAGTACTCGTCCCACTATGTATAGATGCATAATCTAGTTTTTAACACAAATTTAGGGTACTTGCCAATTATCGTAAACTTATTTATGCAGTTATTTATGTATACCTTTGATTTGCTAAGCAGGTTGGGATGTCAGGTTGCATGAAAAACCAATAATAGCTTACAAGTGAGAACTGCACTAATCACTTGTTATGAACAAAACCAATGTATGTAAATAAAAGTAAGTAAACAAACATCCATTTTTCGCACGTAGACAAATATTCATAAGGACATTAACTTCACTTCACGCTGCTTATCTTTAGCAGAAACCGTATTGCTTGGGTATCTTCCTAGGATGCAGCCAAGGTTTGTTGACTGGGTATGGCACCGGTGGAGATTCAAGAAGATTCTTCCCAGAACATTTTACCTTATCCTGTGATCCTATTGCTGTCTGCCTGGTGAAATCCCAGTCCTCTTATATCCCACTTAACTCTAGTGTAATTTAAACAGTAGTTAAATTGCGTGCATTTTAGAGTTTGGGTTTTTAAGACCATTTTTCTTAACAATCAAAACACTCAATTAGTTAAAGTAAATGACATTTGTAAGAGGCGTAGTAACAAAATTACTGGTACTCTTATTATATTTTATAAGTTGGACATTAAATAAATAAATTGTGTATGTGCTTGTACTAAAAGGTGAAATTCTGTGATTCCATAAAGAGAGCACGTTGTGGTGCCATCCGATATGAGAATTAGACGTTCAGACGAGGCCACTAGTTGATTCAACTAGTTGAATGGATGGGTATCGAGGAGTGTAACGTGGTAGCAAAATGTTTGGGAATCGCCCCAAACTCTTCACACAAGTGCCCCTCATGTTCTCTTCCCCATTGGTTGACGCAACTCAAAAGATACTGCTTGGCATTCCTCCTTCACACCAGTGCCTAGTTGAGTAAACTGAGTTCACCATGGAAAGCGCTGCAATTGCAAGTTTCAATTGAAGCAGTTCATTGAAGATATTTGTATTATATGGGACATGAGGTGTGAGGAGTTTAAGTGATAAAATTAAAAGAAGCAAAGCACAACCCCAGCACAGCCCGTTTCCCAATTTTATAACAATGGATAAACCCGCACTTTTCTTTACTGGGTTTCCTCCTTTTTGCAGAAGAGCAAGCACAAGAAGTGCTCCTGCTTGCTCGGGTTCTAACATCATACGGACCTCCTGTTGGAAAGAGAGGCTGATTCCACAAGTTGCCTGGTGTGAAACCAGCAAAGAAAGTCTTCACACGGCAGTAAACTAGTTGAGAGTCTACCGGGCAACTTAGTTGAATCAACCAAACTACCTCGTCTGAAAGAGGTGTCATGCTTGAGCAAGGCAACGAGTATCTGGTCCCCTGTTCTGAATTTTGGAGGTAACAGGGTTATTCTATTGTATACTGAGACTGATTGTATTTATTAATGGGAATGTCAGTTATTTCGACCAACACTCTTCTTTTTGTTTACTTTGTCTTTTCTGTCATGTAATGTAATAAAGAAGAATTCTTTACGTACAGTGTTCTATGAATCTAATGGTAAAAATTCAATATTTTCGCAGTCTTCTATTTATTGTACAAGCAATTGAATAAACCGTTTTTATCTCCTCCGCGAACTCCTTTCAGTTTGCTTAATTTGTTCACCAACTTGCAGACCAATACCCACAAGAAGATCACAATTTTTTTTAAAGATTGCAGCCCGTAATACATTAATGTTGAAGCTTTTACATACTTTCATTCAGTTTTTTTTTTTTTTTCAAATGAAATCCTTGATGAAATTCGGCGTTCAGCCAGCGAGACTAGTGCTGCAGGTTCATCACCAAATTTTATCTCACAGATCACAAAATGGACTAATGCTTAATTGACCCATCAAATTTATAATTCAATACACTACTAAATAATACTTAAGTAATTATAACTAAAAACTATAAAGTGGTGTCCCACTTAATTGAAAGGCGCAATTCCTTGGCTTCATATAGAGAGAGCGTAGGAATGCCACTAGATATGAGAATTGTGTTTGACAATAACACTTGGATTTTAGTTACATAAAAGGTGTAGAGGGTGATGAAGGATTATCACATATACACCCTACATCATAGAGCATAGCATGATAAAATTAAACATGATGTGAGAAGACCCCCTACTGGTAACTAGGGTATATATATCCATACACATGCAGGGTAAGTGAGGAAAGTTGTTGGACGAGGGGGGTTTGGGTGTATGGAAAGGGTACTGTGGAATTTCTGGTAACTGTTACAAGATCGTGAACGAATGTTATATGTAAGTGCGTGAATGGTTTTATTAGAGGCATTGAATGCAGCATTAAGGATTTGTCTTAGAATTTTAGATTAGAGAGACTGGACATGAACTGGAATGTTTGGTTGAGCCCCTTGCCCCTAGGGGCCTGTTTAAGTGTTTTGTAAAGGGTTTTTATTGTTAATGTTTAGGTGGGATTGTTGGTCGAGTAGTCTCAGCATTTGTTTGTAACGGCGGTGCATGTCTTGTCTTTTCAGGTGAGAGTATGGATTTCATATCTTTTATCAATGTACACAGTCCCACGTATCGTACTATGTCAGCAGTCAGTATCAGTACGTCATTCAGTCATAATTGAAGGCATGGTAACTTTCTTGGTGCAAAAATGACTTGAACACATTTGCTTTTGTTTGCTTTGATTTTCCGTTTGCAGACCAGTCTTCTAATAGAGCGAGGTGACTTTGCAGGAGCTTACAACAGATGGGTAACACTGCCATGAGTGAAGGGTATTTCAATAGGAAATGTATTAAGAGTGTGTGGGTTTAGAAACTGATTGCATTGTGAGCTGAAACCTGTTGATAACCCTTACAGTCCAACCTAAGTGGCTGGACGGTTAAGATTGAGGTAATTATTGGTCCTCTTAGTGTATTTATTACATATTTTATGATGGACATTAAATAAATTAATTGCATATGTATTTGAATTAAAGGGTGTCATTCCTCAGCCACATATAGAGAGTGCATAGGAATGTCACCAGATATGAGATTGTTCTTGCGCATGTCAACGAGTTCTTGGAGGAAATAGGGTTGTTTAATTAGTATATAGTTCTGATAATGCTATGTACCCTAGGTGTGTGTTGAGAGTGAATGTATTTATTAGCATGAATGTATACTATAAGAGGGCCAATGGCAAAATACTGAGTATCACCGAAACTGAGTGAATGGTATGTAAATAAAAAAGAATGTATTCCAGACTGAGAGTGTGATCGGATTTAGATTTAGGGACTGATTGCATTGCGAGCTGAATGACCTGTTGATAACTCCTGGAGCCCAACCTTGATGGCTGGACGGCTAAGACTGAGGTCTGACCTCAGAATGTTGACACATGGGGTAGATGATTTCGAGGGATTCAACTCTGTACATACGTTTATGTATGTACATGTATGTGCAGATTTGAACTTGTATAAATCAGTAATAAGTGATTAAAATAAAAATAAATGTTGATGTTGTTTTATTTGATAGAATTGTCCCTGTTAAATTTTATAGTGAGGAGCAGTACTTTGCAGGTCTGCAGGAGGTCTGCAGATTGTCTAATCAAAAGAAAGATCGTAAATATATATATAAAACCGTGTCATAAAAACAGAAGCCAATAAACTGGCCCGTCCAGGAAATAAACAGAATTATAAGACAGTCTTAAATAACTGTGAGAAATTCCGGCGTAAAAGTGGGATGGCGTGAAATTCCTGTCTATATCCGTTCGCCTCCGAGCGAAAATTTCATCACCGAGGGAAACGGAGGACAGAAATTTCGAAGCACGCGTCTTGAGCTTCAAGGCGCTTTTATCCGTCCCGTTCTCGTTATCTAACGAAGAAAGGCTTTATTGTGGGACTGACGGGAGAGTTTATTGTAGAAAACTACTTTTTGTTTATTCGTCATCCGTATTCTGTACTCTGTTGTGTCATTTTTACAGTACGGAGTGTGATTTCTTATCGGCCCAAGGCCTAATATGTCGGGCCGGAGGCGTTTTGACATTTCTGTCTGTACGAGCGGGGACGTTCAACATCTTCAGACGCGAGCTGCAGAAAAATCCACGATTTCAACTTTTTTATGGATTGAATATACGACTTTTTTATACAATTTCTATCTTCCATTAAAATCTCGGGTATAGTGCCGAATGGTAGGACTAAGGTGTCGAATCCAGATAAAATAAAAGACAGAAACGCGAGTTTCCACGGTTGAGAACTGAAATAAGGTCAGGTCAACCGACTAATGACGGCTTACGTGCATCAAAACACTCGGCGACGAATATTCCAGAGGGTTTTAAATTTGGCCGAGGGACGTACGGAGCCGATGGGAGGGAGTTCAAGGATGTAGAACTCCCGAGTCGTGCTGAATCGCCTTGTAAGGTCTGTTGACAACCCAGGAAAAGACGGTCGGAGAAATTCGGTTCAAATGTTAAAAAAATAAAACAATTTCGAATTTGAAAGAGAGAAGGCAGTCGAAAGGTCCCGTGCCTTTTTGAAAGTGCGCGAGTGTCTGGAACGCAGGCGATACCTACGGTTCCACGAATGGCATTAGGTTACAAACCACTCACCTCTCAAATGAAGTCAGTATCGTAATCCAGTAAAACGGCCGGTCGAATATCCAGTTCCATTAAGGCCGATTCGGATCGAACAACCGAATATTTACGGCTTAAGGCTTGTAAAATCGAAGGCGGCGATTAAAAAAATAAAAAAGAGAATTCACTGAACTGAGTCAGGTGAAACTAGCCGAAGCAACAGGTCTCTTCTCTCACTATCAGGTAAGGTAAAAACAGGAGGGGGCTCGGGTTGTACGTACTTTCTATAGGAGGGGGGCAGTCACAACTATGACTCCTGCATTCCTCGCCTTCCACTCCTATTTCACATTCGGACACTCCTTCCTTCGTCCCCCCGTCGCGGCCCCTCGCCTTCCTCAATCCTCAACCGATACTTTTTCTCACGGTTTGACGGCCTTCGGCTTCGAGGACTCTCTAGTCTCTAGGTCTGTACGGTGTACGCACTCCCGACTCCGAACGTCTTCGGTTCCTGTGGATCTTTAAGAATACGAGGCCTCGACCCGCGAGAACTACGGAGGAGCACTGTTTTATGAAAAGGGAAGGCGGACTTTGTAGACCAAGCCCTCGTCACCCGAATAGAATAATAAGCGCCCCATACTAACACGAAGAATAAACAGAAAGTTCAGTTCTATCAGTCGAAGAAGTATGTCTGAAGAAGAGCCACTCTTGGGTAGCAGATCTCAAAATAAGACCAGCAGAAAGCCAAAAACAACTGCCCAATCTTCAAACGTGTATTGGGTAGCTGCTAGAAATTATTAGTTACGATGAGTCTCAAACACTGACATACAAGTTGAAACGAATTGTCAAGGATCGATCTACGCCATACAACCTTGTTTGCACAAAATTGTTCGATTGTGTGCGGAGGGCTTTATAATTTCTAAGAGAATAGTTTTATACACCGATGCACAAATTTAACGCACCACTCAATTTATTTAGTATAAAATTAAATACATTATATTTTCACATTAGTTGCAAGTAATTACGAGCTATCGCGATCAAAATAAACAGTAAATAATGCTTTGTTTACTTCCTTTATTTACTTTTGTATTGATTAATCGCATTGGCACAAAAAGTAGCATTATACCTGTCCTTCCATTCTGCATCGCCTAAAGATCGCTTTCAGTTAATCTTTTTCTTTCGTTGATTTAATTTGATATTATTCTTATTCTTAAACCTTATTCAACGGCTCCAGTCAGTCATCTGAGTGAGTATGATAGTGTCAAGTCTTGACATTATTAGAGGAAGGAACAAAGTCAATATGAAGGGTTCTTGGCGCTTCAGAGAAACCGGGCTACACACTAGAAGGCCAGGGTAGGTCGACCTAGGTCTACAAACCGGAGAGATGATAGATTCATCCGTCATCAGGCTCAACGAAACCGCAGCATTGCAGCAAATGGGATAAGAAATCTGATAAAACAAGCCCGAAATGTTCCGATTTTCTTCATAAATTAAGGGGAAGAAGGGTCAATGAAAATAATCTCAGGGCCGTGCACCCTGGCTGGAAAATGGCCAAACTTTAATTCATTCAACCAACACGGGTACATGTGAATTGTACATTGGAAGTTTGGGGACGAATTCTCTTTACAGATGAGAGTTGGCCTCAAATCTTCAAATGGGCGTAATTTCGTTTGGAGACGCTCAGGAGAAAGGTACGCCCCATGATGTATGGTTCCTCAGATGGCATTCCACGGTGGGTCATTGATGTTCTGAGGTGGCATTTCCTTGGACGACCGGACCGAAATGGTTGTTGTACCAGGAAGATGTATAACTTCACAGAGGTACATATAAAACAATAAAAGATATGTAGTACCATTTGCCCTTCGCATTGGTGAGAGATTCTTACTAATGCAGGATAATGCCGGGCTCCATAGAGGACGTATTGTGGATGACTACCTGAATGAGTTGGAATTGAGTGCTTGGTGTTGCCAGCTCGAAATCCATGTGCATTATATGTGGTGCATTAATTTTGTCCATCTCTGTATCATAATAAGATATCTAGGTAAAGAACAAAGAAGTATGGACACGGGGCCCAACGTCAGGTCGCAAGTGTGTAATTAGCATGAAAGGTTGAGAAGCGAGACTTTAACCATGAAAAACCATAAGTATTCTTTTATAACTTATAAGACACTCCATATACAATCAAACAATTTTGCGCAAACAAGTTTTTTTGCATGGATCGATCCGGGACAATTGGTTTGAGCTTGTATGTCAGTGTTGGAGACTTCATCGGACTTATTTTGAGATCTGCTACCGAACGGTCATATCTTAAGTCTTCCACCATTCCTACTTCCAGGTCTGTATTTTTTCTGACAAGCAAGCAATTATTGCAACGCAAAGAATTTCCTCGACAGAAACTTGCAGGGGATTTTTAAAAATGTACCAAAGTTTGCTGCGAAATCGCAAATCGTTTGATCGTTCATGAGGGCGGAATTTGTGGATTGGAAATTCAAATACGACGAATTTGGAATTTATTTACTAAAATTGTTTAATTTCGAGGCTATCGCCATTGGTGAAGGACGTACGTCTCTTATTTTCAAATTATTTCGCTAACCCTTGCAAAAATGAACAAACACTTTTCACAGTTGTACTAAACAATGGAATTTGTTCTGGAATAAACCCCACGTACTCTTCATTTCACAGGTTTCGACGGCTTTAAACCCTACTCCTCCAAATTACAGCAATTACAATAATATTTGCTTCTCGAAAGTCGTTCAGCTCGACAATATTAAGGCGCCTCTTAACTCTCGGCTTAATTGATTAATCTGTATGGCGTCTCTAACGCAATTATTATTTTTTATCGTGCGATAACGGGATTGAAGTAGGATTCACTATTGTCGCCTCCGAAGGATATACGGCCTACAATTGAAAATATAAATTAACTATTTCAGATAAGATAACAATGAAGTGCTTAAGAACAACAAACCCCAAAATAAATGGTTTTCGTTAATTCATCAACTGTCGATAGGTACTCAAAAACAACGTCGATTGAACTGCAAAAAGTTATACTAACTTTTACAAAGAACTGAATGCATTTGCATTAAGGCGGCTCCAGACATGCGGTATTCGCCGAATGCCGATTGCCGCCGAATATTTGCCAAGTCTCTAGAAGCTGGTCTTGGCATTCGCGAAATAGCGTGCCTACGTATACACACATGCGTGTTTTGTATAACCTCATGGTCGTTGCGGAAACAGGGAATACGTATTTTCCAAATGTCGTGGGATTCCTCTACGTACTACAAATTGTAATGGACAACAGTGAAACTATCACTGCTGCAGCTGCGGTTACTATTTTGTGCAGTGGCTACAAACTAATTGAGAAAATATATTTAATTATATTTTTTTATAGTTTTAATTATTGCTTTATTTATAAAACAAATTATGATTTGTAAGAGAAGGTTTCCAAATTATTGGCTCTGTTTCGTAAACATCGAAGAACTCCAAAACTGTTGCATTGGTTCAATCCATTCCCAACAAGAAAAAAACAATTGTTACTGTTATTAAAACATCCATAGTAGTTAGCAATCGTTTATTAATGAAAAATAAATAGTATTAAATAGAAGTATACACTTACGGTTGATTTTGATAACAGTTGACAGTTGGTTAAAGGTATGTACAATTAAAGTTGATTCCCGAATGTGTTGATGGTTTGACTCCGGTTACTTCACGAATATTCATGCCCTTTGAAGCGGACAAGAAAACCGACAAAAAGCCGAGCACGGCGAGCACCGGATGTTGTTATTCGGCTAATAGCCGAGCGTCCATCCTCACTAGTCGGGATTCGATGAAAATTTGCGCGGCATTCGGCGAATACCGCATGTCTGGAGCCGCCTTTACGAAAACGTCGCAGTTGTGTTTCTGTTGCCCAACTCCTTAGTTCCAAAAGAAAGACCTCATGTATAAAGACCTCTTCTTAATCTCTCTCTCTCTCTCTCAATAATCCGAACTAATCATTGCTGGGTGGGGATTCGGATGTCAGAAGGTTTAAAAAATACATATGTATGGGCAAAAAAAAATCGAAACAATACAGTATTATTTATTATAGCAAGTACAAAACGTTAAACCTATTAGAATACATCATACCGACATACAAGTGAAGATTTCTTTAAAAAATCAGTTAAAAAAAAATTTAACACTTTCCTCATTGCTTCGTCTTCCTTGTCTCTCGTATTTAAGCAGTTCGTATATTATACTTAACGCAAGAAAATAGTAGACTGATCAAACGTTTCATTTTTAGTAATGAAAGGGAGGTGAGGAGCTGAAAAAAATAAATTCTTTTCAATAAATTTGTATAGTCTAAGCTGGTCTTTCGTATAACTCTCTCATTCACTCAATCACTCCCTCTTGCTCTCTCATTCACTCCATCACTCACATGCTCTCTCTCACTCACTCACATACAGTCTAAGCTTTCGTATAACTTGTGATGTCTCTCACTCACTATATCTCTCTCACTCTTTCGCACTCTCTCATACTCTTTCCATCACTCACTCAATAACTCTAACTCACTCTCTATCTATTTCGGTTTCTCACTCACTAATTCTCTTTCTCACCCAACCACTCACTCTTACACACTCACTAACTCTTTCCCTCTCAGTCACTCTCTCATTCACTCAATCACTCACTTGCTCTATCTCTCTCACTCACTCTCCCTCTATCTCTCTTCTCACTCAACATCTCTCTCCATCTCTCTCTCTCTCATTCGCTTAATCTCATTCACTCACACTCTCTTATTCACTATGTCTCTTTCACTGATTCGCTTTCTATCACTCACTGAAACACTCTCCCTCCATCTCACTCACACACACTCTCTCTCATTCACTTAATCTCACTCACTATATCCCACTCACTCTCCCTCTACAACTCTCACTCACTCACTCTCTATCTCTCTCTTACTGTAACTCACTCTTCCTTTTTCTCACTCACATACACACTCTCTCTCTCTCTCTCTCATTCACTTAATCTCAGTCACTCTCACTCTACATCTCTCACCTCTCTCTCATTCGCTTTATCTCACTCGCTCACTATCCCTTTCTCTCTATTTATCTATCTCTCTCCCTTCTCCCTTCCTACCATATAGTGTTTCATTTGTATCCTTTAAATTCTATTTTAAAAAAAATTTCCAGTTCGGATTAATGAAATGTTCTTAAGTAACTCAGTTCGGATTAGGGAGGGATCACTGTATTTCACACATTGCCGCATGGCTGGTTCGTGAAAATGTGTCGAATTTTTCAATTAAATGCCCGTCGAATTTAATATATAATTAGTTAATATTCGTTATTATTAAACGGTATGAAGGCCACTTTCGTTGAAACGAATCTTTCGGAATTGAATCGCGTGGAATGCACAAGCTTCCTCTCGGCCTATTTGGCATTCCCGAAACACCCTCCAGCAGCCTACGGAATAACAATACCACCTCTACTGAATGGTTAATTAATATGTATATGAATGCTAAGGGGGCAGAACTTATCATACTAACGCGGGAAAATTTCAGAAGGGGTTTTTTCACTGTCTGAAGAGGCTTCAGGTTTTGAAGACTGGAGTGAACGTGATTTTTTGAAACGAACTGTGGTGACCTTTAGATCGCATTTTACTAAGCAAGGCTGTCTTCATAATGTCAATGCGTTTCTTATTCCATTGATTACGCCATTCTTTTGTCTTTGGCATTCTCAAATTCATTTCAGACCTACGCTGTCGGTTTAGTTGATATTGCTGATGGGTTTGCACGGGCGTTCCAATTTACGTCAGGAGATTGTGTTAATTAGCCTTTCTTTCTTTAAAATGATGTAAGAGCAATGGAATTTAAAAAGAATTTTCACGCGCACGAAACTTCACGATTCGGAGCCTCCGACCATATGTTCCACTTCAAATATCGACGCTATTCTTTTTCTTCGTATTTTATTGAATTTCTTAAGTTGGGCACGTGAGAGCTGACAATTGTCGTCACCGGTGTTGAAATCAACAGGGTGTCACACTTGCGATGAGCAGCTCGATTGCATCGCTCGACGAGGGTGTTAACCCGCAAAAATTGTTCTATGATTGCCGGGCGTAGTTATATTTGAAAATGGCAATTTCTCTTAATATGCGACCTTACACGCAACACCGGCTGGAAATGTGGCAAGAGTTGGGGTTCCAGAGTTCAAGCCTGCTCCAGAGATATTCGACTGCCATAACGGGTGTGCCGATTGAGCCGAGCAGAAAACGAAATCCATATCGGTATTTGACCCAGTCTCTTCAGTCAGCGTTGGAATTTTCTCCCATTCCTGCCCGATCCCGGTTGTGATGGAGATAATAATGGAACGCAAGGAAGCGAGGATTTCCCAAGCACTGCGGCTTTCTGTTTTGTTGTGCTTTTCCTAGTTCCTTAAGAAGTAGTCATTGCTGCACTTATTTTTCTCAGGCCTTCCTGATACCTGATTATAATTAAATTTGTCCGTGTAAAGTGTTTGTACCGATAAACCTAAAAACCTTTACTCTAAAAGGATTATTAAGACAATGTCACTAATATGTCGTTATCATCTGAACAAATACTTTAAGTACAGTAGGAAAAGTCAGTTTGTATCGAACTTCTCAGGCGTTCATTCGTTTTGATAAAAATTTATGTTCAGTCGAGTATATCTATTGCACCTTTTATTAATCATATGCCTAAAAAGGAGCCCTTAAGTGTCTATGAAAAATGAGAAATTGTTGTGTTTCATGATGTCGGTTTGAGTTGCTGCGATATTAAACTACCGCGAAAACTTTTTGATATTTAAAAGAGAACTACAATAGAAAATATCCAGGTGGAACTTTTAAAGCGCGATCAACCAACAGTTTTACGTCGGACGTATTCTTGTCAGGAAATTGTTTAAACGACGAGACTTCCAGTTCAACAATTAACAATACATTTGTTTTAATTTTAAAAGAGCTGAGAATATAGTCTACACCTCGAAAAAGGTAGGTCACAGAATTCAGCGCTTAGAATTTTCCACGATGTCATGGGTTGATACAAAGATTAACGTTAACTTTTCCTATGAAAAAAATAATCTGGCGATCTGATGTAAATATTACTGGTATGATTTGAGGAGGGAAAAATAATTTTTTTCTAAAAGACAACTTGGCAGTGTTGTTCCACCATGGTTAACCAGTTCCATAATGGTATGGGGTTGCTTTTCTTGTAATGGTGTGTACTCTCTGACATTTATTTCTAGTAGGTGATGGATATAAGCAATTGTTAATGGAACATCTTGCGCCTAATGCTGAAGTTCTAGCAGGTTAAAAGTGGGTAATTCAGCAAGAAAATAGCACCTGTTCACGCTTGTCAAGTTGTTAAAACTTGGTAGAATAGCATGGAAATAAACTGCCATAAATGGCCAGCGAATAGTCCAGATATGAACCCAATCAAGAACTTGTGGGGAGATCTGTCTACGATAGGTCATTGATGTTCTGAGGTGGAATTTCTTTGGATGTCCGCACCGCATTGGCTGTTGTAGATCAACTAGAAAGATCAACTTCAGAGAGGTACTTACAAGACATAATCGAAGAACATGTAGTGCCGTTTGCACCCCGTTTGGGGACGAGTTCTCTTTACAGATGAAATGTGAGTTGGGCTCAGATCTTCAGGTGGGCGTAATTTTATATGGAGACGCTCAGGAGAAAGGTACACTCCATGATGTATGGTTCCTCAGGTGGCATTCGACGGTGGGTCATTGATGTTCTGAGGTGGCGTTTCCTTGGACAACCGCACCGAATTGGTTGTTGCGCCAGGATCTACTATCTAAGCCCTAGGGTTAGGATTGGAAGAAGATAGAACTACTAGGGTGAAATATTCAGTTCCCTTTATTCTATCAGAACAATTTCCCGATAAATATATATTAACGACAACTCTCTTACTATACTATTATACATTAATAAACAAAACTTATAAACTGCATGACTATTTCTATATACAAAACAACGCTGTTATTCCCACTTGCAAATCCTTATTACTAGGGGCTCAATTATTGGGGTCGTATTACTTAAGATTAGGCCGCTGCCCGAAATCTCCCAACTGTTCTCCCGCCAACTGATTGACAAATATTGTACTCACAGAACTGCGATGTTGGCATTGGTCTCGCTACTCCTGGCTGACTCCTGCGCATTCCTGCCCGTCTCCTTGTCGACTCTTACGGACTTCTGGCCGGCTGCTTGTCGATCCTTCGGAATTCTCGCTGATTCCTCTCTACGCCGGCTGTCACGGCCACACCAGCCTCCTGCCCTGTCTGCTCTTTAGACTTCTCTCCCGATTTTTCTCTCGACGTCTCTCTCGGCCAACTCCTCGTTTCTTGGCCGACTTCGGCTCTTCGTCGTCTCCTGGCCGACTTTGGCTCCTCGACGCGAATTTCTCGCCGTCGTCTTCTTGACGACTCTTTGGCTCCTCCGGGCGAACTTCTCGCCTAATCCGGGCCTGCTCCTCGTCGACTTCGGCTCCTCCTGGCAAACTACTCGCCGAATCCTGGCCTACTCCGGGCCAACTCTTGGCCGACTCCGGCTCCTTCGTGCGAATTTCTCGTCGTCGTCTCCTCGACGACTTTCGGCCAACTCGGGCCAATTCCTGGTCTTCTCCGGGCCTGCTCCTCTTCGACTTTGGTTCCTCCTGGCGAACTTCTCGCCGTATCCTGGTCAACTCCTGGCCTATTCCTACGGCCCGCGGGGGACCGTGGCGGCCAGACCGCGACAGCTCTCCACTGACCGCCTCTACTTTTTCAACTCCTAGTTGACTCGAAGGGACTCTCTGACTGACTCAACTCAACTCCACTGACTCGACTCAACTACACTGACTCCACTCTGTC